CTAGAAACCTTGCTAGTAATCCAAGTAGAAATCTCCCAGAAATTCTACTAGAAACCTTACTAGGAATCTTAGTATAAATTGCTTGCTTGGAGCGGCCCGCAGGGCCACATACCCACCACAGCCCGGGTGATCCGGAACTTCTCTTAGAAAACCGTCCAGTTTTCTCTTGAAGATGTCCACGGTTGTTCCGGCAATATTTCTTATGCTCGCTGGGAGGACGTTGAACCACCGCGGACCTCTGATGTTTATACAGTGTTCTCTGATTGTGCCTATGGCACCTCTGCTCTTCACTGGTTCTATTCTGCATTTTCTTCCATATCGTTCACTTCAGTACGTTGTTATTTTACTGTGTAGATTTGGTACTTGGCCCTCCAGTATCTTCCAGGTGTATATTATTTGATATCTCTCTCGTCTTCTTTCTAGTGAGTACATTTGGAGGGCTTTGAGACGATCCCAATAATTTAGGTGCTTTATCTCGTCTATGCGTGCCGTATATGTTCTCTGTATTCCCTCTATTTCAGCAGTCTCTCTTGCTCTGAAGGGGGAAGTGAGTACTGAGCAGTACTCAAGACGGGACAACACAAGTGATTTGAAGAGTACAACCATTGTGATGGGATCCCTGGATTTGAAAGTTCTCGTAATCCATCCTATCATTTTTCTGACTGTCGCAATATTTGCTTGGTTATGCTCCCTAAACGTTAGGTCATCAGACATTATTATTTCCAAATCCTTTACATGCTGTTTTCCTACTATGGGCACATTTGATTGTGTTTTGTACGCTGTATTATGTTTAAGATCCTCATTTTTACCGTACCTGAGTATCTGGAATTTATCACTGTTAAACATCATGTTATTTTCTGATGCCCAGTCGAAAACTTTATTAATATCAGCTTGAAGTTTTTCAATGTCTTCAGCCGAGGCAATTTTCATACTGATTTTTGTGTCATCTGCAAAGGATGATACGAAGCTGTGACTTGTATTTTTGTCTATATCTGATATGAGAATAAGGAAAAGCAGTGATGCAAGGACTGTACCCGTAGGTACAGAGCTTTTAACTGCGCTCGGGCTAGATTTTATATGGTTGACAGTTACTCGCCGAGTCCTGTTTGACAGAAAACTGAGTATCCAGCGTCCTACTTTACCGGTTATTCCCATTGACTTCATTTTGTGTGCTATCACGCCATGATCACATTTATCGAAAGCCTTTGCGAAGTCCGTGTATATCACATCAGCATTCTGTTTTTCTTCTAATGCCTCAGTGACTTTGTCGTAGTGCTCAAGTAGCTGTGAGAGGCACGATCTTCCCGCTCGAAATCCATGTTGGCCTGGGTTGTGAAGGTCATTGGTCTCCATGAAATTGGTGACCTGACTCCTAATCACTCTCTCAAATACTTTTATGATGTGCGATGTTAGTGCAACTGGTCTATAATTCTTTGCCAATGCTTTGCTCCCTCCCTTGTGTAAAGGGGCAATGTCAGCTACTTTAAGTGCATCTGGTATCTCCCCCGTGTCCAAGCTCTTCCTCCACACTATACTGAGTGCCTGTGCTACTGGCACTTTGCATTTCTTTGTAAATATTGAATTCCTTGAATCTGGACCTGAGGCCGAGTGCATGGGCATGTTTTCCATTTCTCTTTCAAAGTCTAGTGCGCTCGTGTTGATATCAGTTATATTTACAGGGGTTTGAATATCCCGCATAAAGAAATTGTCTGGATCTTCCACTTTCATGTTGTGTATTGGAGAGCTAAACATGTCCTCATACTGCTTTTTTAGGATTTCGCTAATTTCTTATGTCATCCTCCGTGTATGAACCTTCACTTGTACGAATAGGTCCAATACTGGCAGTGGTTTTTGCTTTTGATTTGGCATATGTGAAGAAGTATTTTGGATTTATTATTTTGGATTTATCTTTATTTCCCCATACTCCTCGATACTTCCCCACTTTCCCCTATACTCCCCTTCACTCCTATAGGGGATTTCTAGTAGAAATCCCACTAAACACCTTACTAGGAATCCTAGTAGAAATTCTACTATAAATTCCCTAGATATCTTATAAGAAATCTTACTAGAAATCCTATTAGGCATCCTACTAGAAATCCGACTAGGAATCCCCTTGAAATCCTACCAGAAATCCTTTTAGATGTCCTACTAGGAATCCCCTAGAAATCCTACTGGGAATCCCCTAGAAATCCTACTAGAAATGGTCCTAGAAATCCTGCTCTTAATCACCTAGAAATCCTACTGGAAATCCCACTAGGAATCCTACTAGAAATCCTACTAGGAATCCCCTAGAAATCTTAAAATCCTACTATAAATTCTTCTAGAAATCCTACTAAAAATCACCTAGAAATCCTACTAGAAATCTTACTAGCAATCCTAATAAAAATCATACTAGAAATCTTACTAGCAATCCTAATAAAAATCATACTAGAAATCTTACTAGGAATTGTAGTTGAAATCCAACTAGAAATTCCCTAGAAAATCCTACTAGAAGTCCTACTAGGAATCCCCTAGAAATCCTACTAGAAATTCCCTAGAAAATCCTATTAGAAGTCCTACTAGGAATCCCCTAGAAATCCTACTAGAAATTCCCCTAAAAACCTAACAAACCTAACCTAAACTTACCTAACATAACCTAAACCTAATCAAAACCTAACTAATATAACCTAACTTAAACTTAACCTAAGACGGTTAGGTAGAGAAATAGAATTTCAATTGAACTCAAGCTACAAGAATCATACAAAACCCAGGAGAGGCAAAGAGAGCAAAAGGCCATCAGTGAAATAGAGAGAAATCCTAAATATTTTTTCTCCTATGCAAAATCAAGATAAAAAACCACGTCTAGTATCGGGCCCCTGGGAAAGGGAGATGGAACTTTCACCGATGACAACAAAGAAATGAGCGAGTTGCTGAGAAAGCAGTAAGACTGTTTTCAGCAAGTCACTAAACACACTAAAGATTGATAACCCAAATGAATTTTTCATGGATATGATACCAACATCAAATTACACATCAGGCTTCACCCTATCCCCACTGAATTTTGAAGAAGCCATAAACAGTATGCCTGTGCACTCTTCACCAGGCCCGGATTCTTGGAACTCCATATTCATCAAGAACTGTAAAAAACCACTATCGCAGGCCCTTCACATTCTTTGGAGACAAAGCCTAGATACTGGCGTTATCCCTGACATACTAAAAACAGCAGAGATAACACCACTCCATAAAGGAGGAAATAAGGCAGACAAAAAATTACAGACCGATAGCACTAACATCGCACATCATAAAAAATTTTGAGAGTGCTATGAAGTAAGATCACAAAATACATGGAATCACAGCATATCCATAACCCCGGACAACATGGTTTCAGAACAGGGCACTCTTGCCTGTCACAGTTGCTGGACCACTATGACATGGCATTAGATGCCATGGAAGACAAACAAAATGCTGATGAAATTTACAATTTCGCAAAAGCCTTTGACAAATGTGACCTGTAGCACTATCATCCTTTGCAGATGACACTAGGATCTTCATGAGAGTAGGCAACATAGAGGACACGGCAAACCTCCAATAAGATGTAGATCAGGTCTTTCTATGGGGTACAGAAAATAATATGGTGTTTAACGAAGATAAATTCCAGCTCATGCGCTACGGAAAAAATGAAAATATAAAAACGGAAACCACGTACAAAACTCAGGCAAATCATAACATAGAACGAAAAGATAATGTAAAGGATCTGGGTGTACTCACGTCAGAAGACCTTACCTTTAAAGAACACAATAAAGTAGCCGTCACAACTGCAAGAAAAATGACAGGTTGGATAACAAGAACTTTTCACACTAGAGATACTGTACCGATGATGATACTTTTCAAAACGCTTGTGCTCTCTAGAGTGGAGTACTGCTGCACAATGACAGCCCCTTTCAAAGCTGAAGAAATTGCTGACCTGGAGAGCATGCAGAAATCCTTTACTGCTAGAATCCACTCAGTAAAACATCTAAACTACTGGGACCGACTTAAAGAGCCTAAAACTGTATTCCCTTGAGCGCAGGCGGGAGAGATACATAAAAATCAATACGTGGAAAATAATAGATGGGCTGGTCCCAAACCTGCACACAGAAATAACATCACATGAGACCAGAAGACATGGCATAATGTGCAGAATATCCCCGTTGAAAAGCGGAGGTGCAACGGGTACTCTGAGAGAGTACTCTATCAACATCAGAGGCCCGAGACTGTTCAACACGCTTCCACTACACATAAGGGGCATAACTGGCTGACCCCTCACAGTGTTCGAGAGAACTTGACAAACACCTCCAAAGGATACCTGATCAACCAGGCTGTGACTCATACGTCAAGCTGCGAGCAACCACGTCCAACAGCCTGGTTGATCAGTCCAGAAACCAGGAGGCCTGGTCGACGACCGGGCAGCAGGGACGCTACAACCTGTCCTCTTAAAAATAACGTCACTTTTCGCTCGTATGCGCACTATGGCCGAATTTGAACGTAATTTGAAATGAAATCGACTCATAAAAGTGACGTACTGCTCCGTTTTCTGTTTGAGTCGTCCGGTTTACTTGGCAAGCTTGGAAAAGGATTCTTTCCATTAACGTTTTTCATACCGTTTTGAAACTTTATGAGAATTTTCTGCTCACCTAACCTATCAGAGGACCTTTAACTTACTGTTGAAAAAAAAATCCCAAATTTATATTCATTTTTTTTTTTAATTTTCAAATTACGCCCATACTCGGCCATACAGGCAAACGGCCAAAAGCGACGTTCTTTTTAATTAGACAGGTTGGACGCTAAGCCCTGGAAGCACCTCAAGGTATGTCAGCAGGAGCACAAGGCTTCAAAAGGACAGAGGACTGCCCCATGGAGCATCACACGCCGGCAGCCACCCACTAAGCCCCCCTCACACAACAGACTGTAAAGGGAGAGGGGGGGGGGATTATTTAACAAAATCAGCATGGAAAATCATATAGGTCACAAAAAATGCTATATCTTGTTTTAACTTTTATATAGAAAAGATTACACATTAAAATAAAGAACTTGCCAGACATTGTTTACCAAACCACACACTAGAATGTGAAGGGACAACGATATTTCGGTCCGTCTTGGACCATTCTCACAATCGACTTCAGAATGATCCAGGATGGACCGAAAAGGCGTCGTCCCTTCACTTTCTAGTGTGTGGTTTGGTAAACATATTTCAGTCACGTTATTGTGACTCCTCATCTGCATTTGCCAGGCATTATCTTGACTAGGCTATGGATAGCCCTCCATACGTCATGGAATTACTGTACTGGGACAAGTATCCAACACGTGAGAAATATGACACCTGTCTAATTACCCATAACTGTATACTGATGACAATGTTTAAGACAAACAATTTCAAAGTGGTACTGCAAAGTATATTTTCTAATAGCATAATAGGTGCAAATATAACATTTTACTTTGACCTAGGAAAATATTTATATAAAACAGTGTAATGCACTCTTAAGGTGTCCACACTTCTTTACAGTTCCAGGCGTCTTTACTGGATGAAATTAAAAATTTCCTGAACATGACAGGCATTGAATACTTGCCACCAGCTGCTTTACTCTGAATGCTCCTGACTGTAGTTAAATCTTCACACAAGTGTTTACAAGACTTATTGAGACGACTCATTTGAATACCCAACGTACAATTTTAAATCTCTCGCATGATAAATCAATGCAGACTTTAATCATGACTTTCCTTCTGTACAAACATCTTTGATAATTATTTATAAAGCAAATTTTATATTGTTTACTCAACTCTGCACCTCAAGGGTCTATTTTACCTGTAATGCACCTTAATAATAATTACATCAATAATTAACCTTGATTTATTGTGAGAAATAATCCACATTTCAGCACATCATTTGCCACATTTTTTTTAGGTAAGTAATTTAAGAAATGAAACGGCAAATTATGAGCATCACGGCCACAAATTCCCAGATGAATTTTTATTACTTTTAATACACTAAATTTTATGAGGGAAATGTTCATATGCCCCAATTTAGTACTCTTGGCAAATTTACCCACATATGCTGTGTGGGTTCTTTGGTAACACCTACAAAATTATTCTTCATCCTCTTACATTTTTATAACTTGATGCATTTACTTGACTGGGTACTTTAACTACACTCAATGCTTCCGGATGGGAACCCTGTGCTCTAGCTCACATTTTAGGGGAATAAGTTTCATCGTATTTTGTTCTTATTTAAAGATTTTATGGTAATTTTATCAACTTGCACAACAATTTATATAAATTTATTACAATAATTGATAATTTAATTCTGTATTCTTGCATCATCAATAGCTATCTTGAAAACCACTAGCCTGCTTCACCAACTTGTGTATGCATCAGAAAAGTGGACTGGTGGTAGTGTAGATAGCAGTGGAAGACAAAAGCAAACAGACTAAATTTGTTAAACCTAAGTTCATATATTAATTGGGAAACATGAGTGTAGTAATGGTGTCCCAAGATACACATTACACATTTCTTTTATATTATCCAAGTTTTGTAATTTCAAAAAACTATCATTATACAGTATTGGAAATTACCCAATATATTTGCACAGCAGAAGTCTACAGTAAAAAGCTCCCAATATTTAATTTAGCTCTGTCTTTGTAGATACTGATCATTTTTTTCATACCACTTGGTAAACTCGTCTTTAACATTTATTCGGTCTTTTTCTTTCGTCTTCCACGTCCATCTTGAGCACCACCAGCACGCTTCCCTGACTTCATATACAGACCCCTGGGCTTGCTCTTCTTCCTTTCTGCTCGTTCCTTCTCTTCTAGTTCCTGGTTTTCACGTTCAATGAGAGTAATTAATGTATTACATCGGCGCTGGAGCTCCAATGCTGTTCGACTTTTGATGAACCAATCAAACCGGAATTGAGGTGCAGATCTGAAATACAAAGCCAAAGATACAGAGCAGACACTGACAACAGAATCATTCCAGGAAATTAACAGGGCACACAGTTTTCTGTACTGAAATTTTAATTACATAAAACACAAGGCACTGAATATCATGAAACACACTTTTCTGGTGGGACCCTAAGTAGTTCCCTTGTGCTAAGCACTGGTTAAGGCATACATAACAAGAACCACAGTTAACCACTGAACTGCTCTGCATTAAAATATGACACACCTGTGATGCGCAGAAAATAAATTCTTTCCAAAAAATTAGTTTCTCTTCTTATATTGTTAATATGCAGTCTCTGATCACAGGAAACTAAAAAGAAATATTGTAAGTGACATACTTTAGAATGTACATAAGAATGTCACATACTTTAGAATGTGACGTGCACAATGGAGCTGGGAAGCTGAGCAAATCATGGGTGGTGAGCGACGGAGTGCTCAAGATCACTAGGCCCCTCCACCTCGTGGGGCAGCAGTTGCCACAAATATAATGTTTCACAATTATTTTGATGTTTCTCATTCGTTTCTTCTCTGGTTTTTGTTGTAATATTATTCAAACATGTGTAATTTGTGGAATTTAAATAGTTCAAAGTGTAGAACATCACAATGCTCAAAATTATGGGGGTCATATATGTGACAAACATATTATATTCTAGAATCAATCAGTGCTTTTGCTGTTATTACACTATATACACACATTGTATATACCCATCTACATGTGTGATCACCATAATGAACCACTAAGTTGGTATGGTGAGCCCAACAAACAAGATTGAGCTGCCACACCCAGCCAGCCCTCCCCTCACTCCTCCAACACCTTACTCGCCAATATTCCTCCTCCCACCATACTGTTATTGTTTTTATTATACTATTTACACACATTATGTATAAGTATCTATGTGTTTTATTCACTAACTATATAACTAAGCTGGTATTGTATCCAAACAACAGTGGCTGCCACCATACACTGCATGACAACTCACACAGCAGATGACGACAGGAGTACACTGCCACCTCCCTCAATAAAATGGCTCCTCCCAACATACTCCTGTTGCTGTTATTACACTATATACACATGTTACATATATGTATCTACATTTGTGGTCACCATAGCAAATCACTAAGCTAGTATGGGGGGTCCAAACAAAAGTAGCTGCCCCAAACAGTAACATTACCTCGATCCCCTTCCTCCCTCATCAAAATTCCTCCTCCCAAAATACTACGCAGAGCTAATTATCACCACAATCCTGCTATTATCAGAATCTTGGTCACAATCCTGTATATGAATAATTTACCACAATTTTATTTTGTAAAGGAACATGAGAAGTTGTTTGAAGATTCCTAGATGACAAAATAATGTGATGCTGTGGCTAATGCTGTGAACATCTTGAACGGCATTGATTCACTGATATTTGAACATTGTACACAGTCATTATCACACTCAGGCTCTTCTGTAATACTGGCTAAATAATACCAGTTACATACATATTTTGACATTATTAGGCGATGCTGCGGCCACAAGCTGAACAGCAGTGCTGTGAGCTCCTGCTGCCTATGTCAGCCTTGGTTGCTCACTCAGTACTAAGGCTCTCACACCTGGGAATGTTGCCCAAAATTTAAAAAAAAAAATGGTGTCTGTCTACAAGAGCCCCGAGGAAGCTGATGTGAACCCCATATAGCCGCAGGAGTTTTGAATCATACGCTATACCTACAAGATCCTCGAGGCGCGTTGCGCACCACTCGTAGACGGTCTCTAGGTACGTTGAGCAGTGCAGTGCTTCAAGACACACCCTAACCTAATGCATGTTAATATCAGAATCTGAATCTCTTATCTTACAACAGGTTTGCATCACTATTAATCTCCGAATCCAGCAGCAAATATTAAAAACCAACGTTGAATGTAATTACAAACAGAGATCACAATAGTGTGATGCAAATGAACAAATCCACAAAGCAGTCAATTTAGGCGCGTCTGGGATCCTCTCAGACGTAGGTTCGAACCCTCATCATGGCCCTTGTGGATTTGTTCATTGAATAATGTTTCACCCAGAAACAACACTACATCTCACTGATGTAGTGCTATCCTATTTGGGGTCATCAGTCACAGAATTCTTGTTGCCGTCGACCAAGGAAGGCACCTAGAAAGGTTAGCGAAACAAAACTGACCACAGTCTGGTTGAAAATTGTGAGCTACGTCCTCAAAATAGCAAAAGAACTCCCCCAGAAAGCAAACAGCTTTTTTTCATCCAACTATATAGTTAGTGCCCCCCTCCCCCCCCCACTAGGGGGGTAGGAGGAGCCGGCAACCCACCTGTTCAGGTCTTGAATGATGAAACCAGCTGACCGAAGAGAGGGAGACTGGCAGGGAGCCTCCGGGACTCGGCCAGAAACTGGCGTTTCATTACATTCAATACGTGTACTGGTTTTCTGTGGTTAGTCCCATTGGCTCCCTGAAGCTAACTACCCACAGTGAAGGCAAACAGGGACTTACCAGGAAGATGGCAGCACCGTAGGACTCAAAGCAAGAAGAGACCGAAGGCCGCGACAGGCACCCCAAAGCCATACAAGGGTGCCGAGGAACTGGGACGTTCACGAGATACCTGGCGACCAGGACACGTTTGACCTCCATAACCCCTGAGCCTGTACATCATCCCAAGACATATTGGCAAAGACAGCCGAAAGAGCGGCATACTTCCTAACATCACGGATGTGAGGGTAGACTGCAAGTTGACTAGACTTAATGACACTGCAGGCAACCCAGGAACAGACCCGTCTGTTGTGGCATTGACCCGTGCTCGCTTGTGCTCTCCACTCTAAGCTGTATTACAGCTCACATCCACCCTCAGATGATGTAAAACACTACCTACATGCAGCTAAGTACATGGAGTCCAAGCAAATCATAACACATCGACCTCAATCTCAATCAACCAACTCAATCAACCTATTGTATCGCAAACGAAATTCAAAAACTTTTCCTGCTGTGAGCATCAGTGCCTACTGCCTACCTCCGTGCTGCCTGACCCAAGTTTCTGCTACAATATCTTCCCCATACCATACTCAACCAACCATGAATCTCAAAAGCAAGTTTGCACAGGTAAAAAAGAACCAAAAATCTCCAAGCAAGGCATCCACCGAGAACAACACCATCAGCTGTCATTCTTTACCCTCTAGGGTCTGTGGCGGCACTGCTCTTCCCTCAACCCCATCACTGGGCAAGGGAATTGTGTCCTCTCAATCATCTGCAAATTGCTCGCTAACATCCCACTTCACGCACTTCAAGCGTGCTGCTGGTCACTCGCAGAATTTCCATAACTGGAACGAGAATCAGTGGTTCAAAAAGCTGTCTAGTCATTGAGGCTCAAATTATCATCATACAGAGCCTTCAAATTGAGGATCAAGCTAACCGCATTAACCTGCAACAACAGCAACAACAAATAACCTTCTCCGTGAGGATGTTAGAGCCTGTCAAACTACTCAACAACAACTCCAGCATGACATAAACCGTCTCCATGAGGAGAATATGCGTCTGAAAACCAATGAATCCGTCAAAAGACGAGGAAGCTCTTTACAAAATGAGTGTAAGTGTCAGTACTATAACCGCTCAACAATATCTCCCAGGATGAACAAGACCAGCAAAAGTTGCTGGACTTTGTTATTGTGTCCTCTTCAGCCATCCCTGTGGAAAGCAAAGGTGAGAAGTGCGTTATATTGTACATGCATTCATAAAAGACCAACTGCGTTGTGAAATCAACAAAACCAACATAATTTCTGCCTAAAGATCTCAGATAACCTAAGGAATCTTATCATAAACAACAATCTCAACAAAAATCATATCATTCTAGGTGACTTCAATATTGACCTGTGTCAACAAAATAGCCCTCAAGTCGACTATTTCCTAAACAGCACGAACTCCTGTATGCTAATCCCCACAATCACCAAGCCCACCCGAATCACTCAAACATCCACTACTGCCCTGGATCACTTATGGACTAACGTAACAGCTTCCTTTGCATCTGGTATAATCACTGACAGAACAACTAACCACTACCCTACCTTCCTCATAGCAAACATGGACATAATACCACCAGATAACAAGAAACTTACCTACAGGCTACATAGTAAAGCAGCAATAGGCAGACTCACAAATGCACTTCACAATATAAACTAGGAATCTGAATTCAATAATACACAGGATATAAATTCATTAGCTAACCTCTTCTTTTCCAAAACCCTAAGCCTCTACAACACTCATTGCACCCCCCTCTCCCCTCACCAAGCAAGTAACTGGCAAAAGATTAAACAATCCTTGGCTCACAAGTGGCACATTCAAAACAATCAATACCAAACATGAATATGAAAAAACTTAGGATTGGCCTATTAACAAAGGAAATAGTTAAGAGGTACTTATCAATATTTACCAGTAAAAGAAAATCAAAACTTTCCTATTATGTGAGTAGATTCAAAGAAGCAAAGGGCAACATGAAAAGCACATCAAAAGCCATCTCTAACATCCTAGGAACTAAACAACATTCACATAACCAGATAAAACTCTCCAAGGATGGTTATACACCTCCAACAAATTTAGAAATGGCAACCGAGTTTAATAGAAAAAAAAAAAAAAAAATTCAGACACATGTTACCACATATCTTTCAGGCAGCTATCCAAACTCACTTCTCCTTTCACCAATCTGTTTACTGCTTTACTGCCCATTGTTTCTCGCTGGCGCCTGGGATCGAACCCAGGACCACAGGATCACAAGTCCAGTGTGCTGTCCGCTCGGCCGACCGGCTCCCTCCCTTTATGCTAAACAAACTCACTCCACACATTCTCTTGTGCCATTTACATTTACAAAACCTTGTTCTTAAGTGCAAACCCTGATCTGAAACTCTTCTTGGACAGATGTAATAGAACCCATAATCACCATACCAGAAATAAATATCTCTTCGATATCCCCCGAGTCAAACTTAACCTATGTAAACAGGTTAAGAACCCTTTTCCCCATACTACTCTCACACACAATTTCCATTACAACTCCCTGGCTCATTTAAATTATACTTGGCACCATCTCAAGGGAGAGCTGCTTCACAGCCTTGCACCAAGTAAAATATTGGTGGATGACCCCTTAGCGTTCTAAGCCCTCTAGCGAACTTCCAATGGGGTAGGACAACAACCCCTAATGCAAGATTACAATATTATGGAAGAGATCATTACTTCATGTTATTATCTTGGCCACTGGCGTGCAAGTGCTTGGTTGTTAGCTCTTGGGGTAACTCAACGTGGGCTATTGCAAGTGCAAGGAGCAATTGAAGGTCCTCTGTGAGGACCTTCAATCTAGTCATTAATCACATCTTATCAAATACAAACATGCAGGAAAACAGTCAAGTTGATACCAAGTAATGATCTCGTCTTACCTTACAGCTGCTCGTAACTCCTCGTACACATTTTCTTTATCAAAGCCCAGTTTATGCAGCATACACACAAGAAAGCGGTCTTCCTCCTCAGAATAGTTCTTCCCCTTGTTAGTTCCATAAGAGATTCGCAGCTGATGGAAGGGTGCTCTGTACCGAGCCATCTGGAGGGAAAAATATTTAATTTAAACTTATGTTTGCTCCACTATGGCATACTATTGCACAGACCTGTACTTACCTAGTAGTTCTTGTGGGGATTGAGCTTCATCTCTTTGTTTCACCTCTCAACTCTCAACCTACTAACTGGTGAACAGGTTTCTGAGCCTACTGGGCTCTATCATATCTACATTGCTAGATATAACATAACTAGTACCTACACTTCAGCAATTAAAATTTTAAGATGGTTGCACAAAATTGCAACCAGTTTTTTGCTACTTTTAAAACATAACTGATCCTACTTTATAACAAAATTTGCATTCTTTGATAATGCATCTTACCTTGGCATCAAGGGCCTTTTTAATTGATGTCCTACGGTGAATTTTTGCCTCTCCCCTCTCAATTTGTGCCAGAATTCTATCACAATCTTGAAGCTCTGAGCAGCGATCCCAGAAGACTGCGGAGTATTCCATCATCTCATCTGGTGTTTTACCTTCAACTTCCTGTAACAATTTTTTTTTATAAATAAAATAGCAGTTTTATGTCAACCATAAATCAAATAGCAATGTATGTTGAAAATTTATGAACTTAACTAATTACAGGTAAATGGTCTTGTCAAAATTAGTAAACTTTCCTACTCTTCCTGCATGATATCAGCAACTGAAGTTGATATAAAGCCAGACTATCTGCAACTGAAGTTGCAGATAAACTTCAGTTCACTGACCAATTGTCACAGTATGTTTAACCAACGATAATAGCCAAGTACAAACTGTACATGCCAATGGTCCCTCAAATAAGATTCCTGTCAATCAAACCCACCTTGGCAATGTTTTTGATATCGTCTCGGCCAAATTTCTCATTGGCTTTGATAAACTGGTTGAAGTCTCTCTTACTCCAGTTGAGAAACCCTTGTGTTAGGAGACTGTCTCGTTCTTCAATCTCCTCTTCTGTAACTGGCTCTGCTTCATCTATTTTTTGTTGCTCCTCCCTCTGGATGCGAGCAGCATCTCCCATAAACTCTGGGTTCTTGGGAACCTGCAACACAAGATTAATTCATCACTAAAGCAAACAGTACAATGCAAAGCATGGTAAAATATTTGGAGCAGGATGGGGATTGACTCAGCATCCTGGATAACTCCCAGATGCCTTGACCTTGACTAAGGGACCACAACATGCTAAAGATTATACATCTTGATAGTTGCCTGGATTCACTGGAAGTCTGGAGGCACACAAATAACCCACATGAACTTTGGCATAGATAATGGTGTTCTCCACCAAATGCTTCCTTCAAATACAGTGAAATTACAATAATGTGAGAGCTGTATGAAAATACCTACGAGCACGTTATTGTGACTGGCCCATATGAGGTAACTCTTATTTATATCGTTATCTATCTTGAGGTTATCTTGAGATGATTTCGGGGCTTAGCGTTCCTGCGGCCCGGTCCTCGACCAGGCCTCCTTTTTGTTACACACCCTCGAACAAGCAGCTCGTAGCAGCTGTCTAAGTCCCAGGTACCTATTTACTGCTAGGAAACAGAGGCTCTGCCCATTTATTTCCGCCTCCACCGGGGATCGAACCCAGAACCTCAGGATTACGAATCCTAAGCGCTCTCCACTCGGCTGTCAGGCTCCTGTCGTAGATATAAACATCTATCTACTTGTTTGTATTGTAGATATAAATAGGATCTACAATGTATGGGCTAATCACAATAACATGCTCAACAGATTGTTCAGACCTATCACATTTTTGTGATTTCATTGTGTATGTAAAGAGAGCCTCATATGGGCATACATTCATTGTAGGCCTAAATACATTATTACTATAGTTAGTAATGTACAGAATCCACATTTTTGTAAACAGATGAACATAGATCTAGTTATTCAACACAAATACTACAGTGAATAACCTAACAAGTATAAAAGCAGTAGTCTAGACATCCAAGGTCAACACTGAGTAGAGCGTAATCTGCCTTCAGCCACTGCGTATCCGACACAAGGTTTGGTGTTGATAGATGGGAGCTGGAGTCCCACACAGTCAACTTGTACAGTGCACAAAATTGGTTACAATGTAGATTTTAAGTTTATTTCTACTTTTCTGAGCATTTCACATTCAAATTAATTATTCTATGTTTTTTTTTTTTTTTGCATAGGAATGCCATAGATGCACATAAAAGGTTAATTCTAATATAAAGCCAGACTTTAGTTTCTAGTACAGTACTATACAAACATTTCTCTCAAAGAAAACTGATCAAAAAAAATTTTTTAATTACTCAAACAACAAAATAATTGTGAAAACAAAGTTTGATATTATAACTGTAGGATTATTATACAAGGCATTTTTGTTTATACCTCTCCATGGTAATGTGGTCTGATCCCTAACCTTGCAACACCAGATAAAACTAGAGGTGAAATCATGATAGTTTTAGGATGGCAAGGGTTAAAAGCCGTTATAATATTGTATATGCAAAACAGCTGTGGGAAAAATTTTCTAATAATGTATACTCAGGTTCTCTCTTTTGCATTATAACAATGCTAAAAATAGTTGCTAAAATGAGCCAACACGTCATCCACACTATGTAAGCAAACATTCCAATGACACTAAAACATGTCGTCCATCTCAAAATGATAAGAAATCCAGTTCCATTAATTTTTTATATTTTTCACTTTTTGGGGCATAATGAGTGAACAGCTCATCAAGGAAATATCCAGAGATCACATCGGCCACTCAAACAATAATCGCTCTGCTTACGACTATTTTCACTATTCTTTACCAATTATCTGCCAGATAAGTACGAGTTATGTTTTGTTTTCTTTTAACTGTGATATAGACCAATAATGCGTGCACATTTTCAGGTAACCCCCACCTCGACCAGTAATGCCACAAGGCATCGACCCCGACGGCCTCGCAGTCGAGGAAGGGCGCCATGTGAACTGGGAGATGCCTCGACCATGCCGACGCGAAGAGGTCCACCTCCGGGAGTCTGTACGGCCAGCAGAGCCAACTGAATGAGTTGGCGTCGACCATTCATTCCATGGACAGGGGAATGACCCGCAACAGCCTATCCACCAGGACGTTGGACACCCTTAAACGTAAACGACCAGGAGAGCCAAACTCCAAGAACTTGACAGACGAGTCACCCAAAGCGACCAGCCCCAAAGAGCTAAGGACCGCATCGAACCCCCAGGTTCAGGCAATGAACCACCAGGGAACACTCCGAATGGAGTCGGATTGTCGATTTGCAAGTAATCCAAATCCTCCAAAGCAACATCCACACTGCAGCAAACTCCTGCACCATGCTGTGTGCCCGACGGAATGACGGACCTTACTGACCCTGGTTGGCCTGGTGAGCACTGGTCACAAAACCACAGCCAAGAGACAACGAGTCCTTGAACACATCGATCGAGGGGCTCGGGTAGGTGCCAAGGCTCTGAATCCCGAAAAACACAAAGAGGAAGCCGGCGAATGAAGCAGACACCCGGAGACCGAACCCAGCGATCACGAGAGAAGCGGAAGGGAGGTCCCCAAAGGAACCATTACAGCCAACGAAGCCCCACCCGACCCAGCGGGTAGACCATCATAGCAAAGTGCAGGCTACCGCACAAACCCTCAAGCAACCGCAGCGTGACCTGGGAGCCCCTCAAAAATAGACGAAGGCAGGAACGCAACTGAACCAGAGCTAACGGAGGGAGAGACAAGGAAGCGGTCCAAGTGTCCCACACAAGACCCAGCCTAGAACGAACCTGAAAGGGAGCCAGATGGCCCTTCCGCTAGTTCACCAGGAATCCGAACCCGGTGAGCTGGGAAAGAACCAAATCCTGGTGAGCAGACACGCGGATTGACTGGGGAACCCACACCAGCCAGTCACTGAGGTAGGCCAGAACCCCGAACACCTAACAGATGCGAGCAGGCCACCACAACCTGAGTAAGGCATGTGAAAATGCGAGGAGCCAGATTCAAACGGAATGGAAGGCAACGAAAGTGGTAACTCTGACAGCCCCCACAACAAAACCGAGCCATTCCCTGAACCTTGGATGAATCGGTAGGTGCCAATACGCATCCTTGAGGTTCAGGGACACCATCCAAGCGTCCAGTTCCAACACAAGCCGGACCTGGGATAGAGTAGTCATCCGAAAAAAGGGGCAGGAAACCCACGGGTTCAGACGGAACATGTCCAGAATGAACCGGAGGTACGAGCAGTCCCGATTCGGGACAGGAAACAGGCGGGAAACCCACCTGAGGGACGAGGTCGTTTCAACCATGCCCAAGCGAACCCATTCAGAGATGACCTGACAGAACGCAGAAGAGGCCAGCCCCGAACCCCCTGAAGGAGGAGGGGCCACCCAACGCCACCACAGGCCACACGAAACAACCCGAAACACCCACAAATTGTGGGACCAAGTGCGAGTAAACAGGGCGAGCCTCCCCCGCAATGCCCTGTCAATGGGACGGACCACAAAAGAGCTGGCGCACCTTACAAACAGCTAAGCGATGCACAGGGCGATCACCACGCCAAACAAAAACAGACAGCACCGTTGACTGTACAGGTGCCAAATCTGGCACCATTGGCCTACCACAACGAAGAAGGACCCCGAGCTCCCCCCCCCCCCCACCCCTGGAGGACTAACGGAGGACTAGTAAGTCCGACATAGGATGGCAACTAGCCGAAGCTGCCTGCAGACACTGCACAACCACAGACTCAGTAAACAGCAATGGACAAAAGGGCGAAGAAGCCCAAGAGCCAGGGGCCCATGCAGATTTTAAGAAAGAATCACAAGCACCGCCTGCCGACACGCAAGTCGAGGAGCAAAAAAACGCGAAACCACGTTCCACTGGAGCGGCATGAACAGCTTCAACAATGTAGACGATGCATGCACTGCCGAGGGCAATGTACCAAACCCAGGGGCGGCCCCAAGCGCCTCTACATTCACCTCAAGCCAGTCCGAGGACAGTTCGAGGAGGGAGAAGAAATGCAGGGCCGAAGCCAACAGGCCATGTGTGCAAATCCTCAGTGACCAATACAGCCGAAAGGGAAGGAACCTGCACATGAAGCTGCATCACACCAACATCCCACAGAAGGGCAGGGGCGAACAAGCATGCATTGAGATGCTCAAATTCGCCACCTGGGAAAACCTGCAACACTGTGAGCCACCCTCCACTCAAGCTTGCAGGAGCGACAGAATGTATGCTAAGTCACCAACGAGAAGAGAGGACAGTCTGCTAACCAGGACAACTCTGGAACTTCATAAGGACAGTAAGGACAAAAATCCATACACGAAGGAACGCTAATCCATTACTTAAGCATAAACCAGGTCATGCAAGAGGTAAGCCGCAAGGGCTTTCCGCACCACATGGGACGGGATGCGGGAAGCCAAAAATCTTCAGAAGGACGGGACCGAAGAAACCACGGGATCACGGAACCGAACCCGAGGAAGGGTAGACGCTTAATCCAATTCGCACGAGGAGGGAGCAAAAGAGAACCTGTCTCCTTGTAACACCAAGCCCCGTTCTGAGGGTACAAAAACCCAGGCGGGGTTCAACGGGGCCCAAGGCCCCCCAAGTTAACCCCTCCCACGCCCCGGGAACCTCACCTCGAGGACCCGGGGCCGAGCCGTTCTCCAAACCCCCGACCTCTAAAGAAAAGGCAGTAGCAGCCAAAAAAGCAGGAACGAAGGGTGACCACTGGTCAGACCCAGAAGCTCCAGCTGGAGGACCAGGCTCGAATGCCTCCGCCACCACCCTGGAAGGGGATTCCCCTCGAGACCACCCGAGTCTCAACACCAAGGAAACCCAGCCCCTACTTTGAAACCCTCAGACATCTTGAAGCCAGAAGCAAGGGGAGAGGATCTGGATGAACAACTGTAAGGGAAAGTACAAGGAGGGGCAGATGGAACCAAAGTCGAAGCGACTCCCACCCCCCCCCCCCCAAAGTCCAGGTCCCTATAACCAAACCGGGGCAGTCTCAGGGGCTCCGGGTAAGCAACCACCCCATCACGTTGCAGCAACCTAAACCTAGCATGCAACACCTCAGGTGCCCGTACCCTCATATCATAATCAGTAGTTTGGGTGAACTGGAGCACGTACAAACAACAAATGTCACATGACTCTGCGTCAAAAGAATCACCAACCCTACAGGCAGCATGGCGGAGGCACAAGCGGTGAATGTTACACCGAGACAAGGGGACAGAGCAACCGTCAATCTCGCACGAAGCGAGAGGGAACTCAGGGGTCACATCCATTGGACCAAGGAACCCCCGCGGGGTTTCCCAGTGCCCTTAACTTTGATAACATGCTAAGGGAAGCCCAGGTAGGGTACAGCTAACCGGTGCCCCAAAACTACCAAGCAAACTGCTAAAAGCTGCACCCCCCTGGACGTGAACACTCGCAGGACCAAGCGAAGGACCATCAATAACAATAGGGTAAGACCAACCAAAAGGCAGACCCTCCACCAGGCAGCGAAAACAAAAAGAAAATGAAAACCCCACAAGAGGACAACGTGCTCAGGCAGAACAGAGCCGGCCACTATGAGAGGTGATAAGCTGCACCGTACCCTGCACCCCAACCAGTGATGAAAACTACCCCCTACCTAGAGGCAAACAGGGGTAAACAAAACCCCAGCTGACTCCAAGGGCAGTCTATCACCGAGCAGTAAAAGACACAGCAGAGGTAGACCCCAAGGTGACTTGTGGAAGGTGGCCCCAAGCCCCAACGGCAATACTTACAGAGCACCTAGGGAAGGAAACCATAGGTGCATGCAGCCCGAGTACTTGAAGAATAATACTCATGGCTCGCACACCGATGGTAGAGACAGTACCACACCACAAGGCACAGAAACCGAGACAAAATCTGGAGCCAGAGGCACATGATCTTGCCAGTATCACATCAGCCAAGAACTGGGGGGTGTGAATCGCAGACACAAGGGTCTGGTGCTCCCCATTCCAGGGAGTGCATGACTCCAGGGGGAGTCATGCTAGTTTGCTAGTTTTCATTTGGGGGAGTTCTGTCCTCTCGTTCGGCTCTCGGTAGCAATATTTTCACCTAAATAGGGATTTGTTTTGGGCGCCTACCTTTCTGAGTGCCAGACCCGGTCGATGGTAGACAATGCTTCCAATTACACAGGGGTTTCTATAGGCCATTGCTCCTTGTGCCTCTCTGAGGGGGCCAGATTTTGGCTCGTGGTCCCCGGTAGGCAGGAATTCCGTGCACATTGACTGATACCAGAAAGCTAACATATCCATATCAGCCTAGATAGTTCCGGGAAGCCGACAGGGCTCCCTCCAGAAAAATTAGTATATTCAGCACTGTCATATATAATCTATTATAAAAACACTTTGTATGCATCTATACAAATTCATTTGCAAACATTGACAAAATTTATAGCTATAACTCAAAACTGAGGAAAAAAAAGAACTATATTAACATTTCAGAAGTCTGTGAATGGGACCCTGAGACGCCCAAAAAGTTAATGGTTGAGAACACCTCAATGGCTCACAAGGTTAACTACTGTGATGCACCGAGTTTATTGTGACATTCCTGCCAGTGTGTATAAAATCAGGTGTTCTCATTTTTTTTTTTTTTTTATCTTTGTAAAATGATAAACTCTCTTCCCTGAACTCGTACATGTAAAAAATAAAACTAAAAACTTCCACTTACTTTGGCTGTGGGGACGTGGAGAAGGGGGGCATCATGGGCTGGTCACCCTTGCCTGAGGCTCCCAGAGGCGGTCACGTGGGCTATTCAAGCACCGCGAGTTGCCACAAATATTTTAATTATTTGTTCTATGTATTTCAATGTGGTTTTGTTTGTTTTTTATCATATATGATGCATATTTGTGTCCTTAACAATATGTTAACAGTAGAACGTTCATAATGTTCTATGGAACTGTGATACACGTGTCAGTAATGTGTCCATTGTAAATATTTATTGTCGCAATATTACTTGTTCAAATTTCACTAAAATTACAATATATACAGTTTCACACACTATTTACACAGTAACACACTGTATTACACACTCAGTACTTCGGAAGCGAGTGATAATCAATGAAGCCGTCTGTGGTACACAGCGTGACTTCGCTCTCGTTGCACCAGGTACAGATAGATTTTCGCTTTCTGTTTTCTCGTTCTGTGTGCTTGCAAATAACAGTCACGTACACCCTTGGCTTTAATACCTGTAGGTGGCATGTAGCCAAACTTGTACAGTGTAAGGTAGTCTTGAAAAGATTATTGGAAAAGATCAATTTGTAAGGTAGTCTTGAAAAGATCGCTTTGTAAGGTCCCACACTGGAAGAGATTCAGCCATTCACAATAAGGTCTGAATTTCACCGACAGAGCGATTTTTTCAACACCGCATTGAACAGGTGCTTGGGAGCCAGAAGCATGTGCACCACCCATGGTTGCTCACTCTGTACTAACCCAGCCAGCAGCCCTAGGACATTCTGGGAATTTTTTCCAAGATGGCAGCCTCTCACTGGAGGTCCCAAGAGTCCATTTCATACACAACCTACCGCGCACGAGTTTTGAACGTGTACGAAATATTCAAAAGATGTTTTCTCAGTTTCCCATCGACCAAGTTTTCTCGGTTGGCGCAGCACAGTGGTTAAAGTGTTAAAACCACTAGACTAAAATTGTAAACCTGAAACATTTTCATACAAGTTGTCTAAAATATTTACCTATGAACCAGTGAATCTTATGCACCAATCCCTTCAAGCTCCTCTCCACTGCCCAAACATTTAAATTAAATGTCAAGGTACTGTACTTCAATGAAGAATTGGTAAACCATAAAATGTCCAACAGTAATATAATTTATGTACTGGGAATAAAAGTGAAGCTCCAAGAGCTTCTTGTGCTCAACATACAGTGTGGCACATCTGGCCAAGTTATCACACACACATTTATAAAAATGTACTGTATTGAGTTTTTCTCCTTGTACAGTACTCCTTACTCACCATGGCTTCAGAACTATTAAACCACCTGTTTATGTTATGGACTCTGCCTCTTAGCTATCAGTTGGGGGCACTTTGTAATCAATGTCAGTCTTGTGGCTCCTGACCCTTCTCAACAGTACAAGTCAGTAGCTCACCTTGTAGCCAACTGTTTTGCGGTAATAGTAGATCTCCTTATCTAGCAGCTCAAATAATCTCGGTGGAAAGAACTGGAAGTCCTGAACCACTGGCTGCTTCGGTGGTCGTGGTGCCTGTACCAAGATATAATCGGTTATAACAACATTTACTCTCATTAATTAATATAACAGTAGCATGCACCAACTAGAGGTGTACAGTGCATTCCTGTAAATATCCACACCTATTCCTTTTAATCAGTCACTGTTTATCCCTATAAATATCACTGCCCATTTCAGTAAATCTGTCACTGACTATTCCTATAAATATCACTACCTATTCCCTGGAAATCTGTCAGTGCTTATTCCAATAAATGTCACCAAGTGGAGTACCTGCTTGATGGGGTTCTGGGAGTTCTTCTACTCCCCAAGCCCAGCCCGAGGCCAAGGCTTGACTGGCCTTAGGCCAGTCAAGCCTAAAGCCTGGCAACACGTGTACTTTCACTCTTTTACAATAGATACCTGCATGTCCCACAAATGTAGAAAAAACGGTAGATGATGCAATCTAGGTTCCCCTTATAAATATACGCTTTCTTATATATTAAATTTAAAATTCCCATTTAACAAAAATTAAAATGAAAATGTAGTGCACTATATTTTATAAACCCATCAAGTTCAATAAATATGTTTTAGAGAAATACCTTTGGGGCTTTAGGCTCAGACACCCTGAGTGCCTCCCTGAAATAGGCATCCACAGCATAATTGGCCTTCCTCTCTCGTTTCGGGGGTTCGATCCACATGCCAATTATTGCCTTTTGCTTATTTCTGAGAGCAAAAAGTGTCATTAGAATAAGGAGTAATATGGAACATTTGGTAATTCTTCAATAACTTTAAATACAACTAGGAAAGGCATTGAAATATCCATACATATTATAAATTATTTTCCCCCTACTGTATTGCACACATATTCAATGAAAGTGACTGGAAGCAGTCATGACTTTTTGTGGTAATTGTGGCATAGATAGAAAAGAAAAAAGAATCGATAGAAAACGAAAAACGATAGAAAAGAAAAACATAGAAGAAAAGAATCACGGAACAACTTGAGAGTCGCACCCTATCTCAAGAACGGCGAAGAAGGTTAGGTAGAGAAATAGAAACAATTGAACTCAAGCTACAAGAATCATACAAAACCCAGGAGAGACAAAGAGAGCAAAAGACCATCAGTGAAATAGAGAGAAATCCAAAATATTTTTTCACCTATGCAAAATCAAGATCAAAAACCACATCTAGTATCAGGCCCGAAAGGGAGATGGAACTTTCACCAATGACAACAAAGAAATGAGCGAGTTACTGAGGAAGCAGTACGACTGTTTTCAGCGAGCCACTAAACACACTAAAGACTGATAACCCAAATGAATTTTTCATGGATATGATACCAACATCAAATCATATATCAGACATCACCCTATCCCCACTGGATTTTGAAGAAGCCATAAACAGTATGCCTATGCACTCTGCACCAGGCCCAGATTCTTGGAACTCCATATTCATCAAGAACTGTAAAAAACCACTATCGCAGGCCCTTCACATTCTGTGGAGAAAAAGCCTAGATACTGGCGTTATCCCTGACATACTAAAAACAGCAGAGATAGCACCACTCCATAAAGGAGGAAATAAGGCAGAGGCAAAAAATTACAGATCAATAGCAGTAACATCGCATATCATAAAAAATTTTGAGAGTGCTAAGAAGTAAGATCACAAAATACATGGAATCACAGCATCTCCATAACCCCGGACAATATGGTTTCAGAACAGGGCGCTCTTGCCTGTCGCAGTTGCTGGACCACTATGATATGGCATTAGATGCTATGGAAGACAAACAAAACGCTGATGTAATTTACACAGATTTCGCAAAAGCTTTTGATAAATGTGACCATGGTGTTATTGCACATAAAATGAGCTCAAAAGGAATTACCGGAAAAATGGGCAGATGGATCTACAATTTTCTGAATAACAGAACCCAATGTGTAATAGTCAACAAAATAAAATCCAGCCTATCAACCGTGAAGAGCTCAGTCTCCCAGGGTACTGCGCTTGCTCCAGTACTTTTTCTCATCCTCATATCGGACATAGACAAGAACACAACCTATAGCACTGTATCATCCTTTGCAGATGACACTAGGATCTTCATGAGAGTAGGCAACATAGAGGACACGGCAAACCTCCAATCAGATGTAGATTAGGTCTTTCTATGGGCTACAGAAAATAATATGGTGTTTAACGAAGAACAGTTGCAGCTCATGCGCTACAGAAAAAATGAAAATATAAAAACGGAAACCACGTACAAAACTCAGGCAAATCATAACATAGAACGAAAAGGCATTGTAAAGGATCTGGGTGTACTCATGTCGGAAGACCTTACCTTTAACCCTTAAATTGAGCATCGCATCATATGATGCTTTGACCGACTTGCAGTAAATTGCACATCGCATCTTATGATGCTTTGGAGTACTACGCAAGATTTAAACGGCCCACGGATACACAGGGTTCCCCACACCTTCATCAGGGCTCTTGTAAACAGACGCCATTTAAAAAAAAATCGTGGGCCAAATTCCCGGGTGTTAGGGGCCTCAGTATTGAGTGAGCTACCAAGCCTGATGCACGCAGCAGGAGCTCACAGCACTGCTGTTCAGCTTGTGACCACAGCATCGCCTAAAAATCCCATAATATACTTGTTCATGCTATTATGTAGCGATGATATTATTACAGAAGATCCCTGACTGTGATAAAACTGACCAGGGTTCTGATAATAGCAGGATTGTGGTGATATTTAGCACTGTGCGCCATGGAGGGAGGAGCAATGCTGTGGGAGGACAGGTGGTGGCGGTGTCTTCTGACTGTGTGTGGCCACCTTTTATTGACTGCACTCACCATACCAGCTTAGTGGTTTTCTATGGTGAACACAAATGTAGATACTTATATATAAAGTGTGTATAGAGGGTATAAACAGCAAGAGGAGTAGGTTGGGAGCCGCCATTTTGGTGAGGGGCGGCGGCGGCGTCTGCACGACTTATGTTGTTTACTGGTGACCACGATGGTCTTTGGGCACCATATCAGTTTACTTGTACAAGTATGGTGAATAAAACAGGTAGATATTTATATGTAATGTGTGTATATAGTGTAATAACACCACAAATAGTATTGTCGGAGGAGAAACATTAGTGCGTCTGGCCTTGAGGGCGGCCGCCACCAGCTGATTGTGTGAGAAGCTACGTCTTTGTGCCTTTACTCACCATACAAGCTTAGATGTACAGTTATGGTGAACAAAACATATAAATTCTTATATATAACGTCTGTATATAAAAGCAAAAACAGTATGGTGGCAAATCAGGTGAGGTGAGGTGAGGTGAGGGAGGGAGGGAGGGAGTGGCAGCCAGTGGCGGGCTGCCACTGCCACTGCCACTCAGCATACCAACTTAGTGGTTTATTATGGTGAACACGAATGTAGATACTTATATATAGCGTCTGTATATAGCAAATAAAAGCAAAAACAGTATTGTGGGAGGAGAATGTGGGTGAGTCAGGTGACTTGAGGGAGGAAGTAGCAGCCAGTGGCAGGTTGCCACTGGCACTTCCACTCACCATGAAAACTTAGTGGTTTGTTATGGTGAACAAAACATGCAGATACTTATATATAATCTGTGTATATAGTGTAATAACCGACAAAGTATTTGTTCACTGTTTGATGAACATAATTGAATCAACAATATGGACACCATATTTTTGAGTACAGCGATGATTCACTCATTTTATTATATAAATATATCACACTACACACTATTGAATAATATTACAGCAAAAAAACTACGAAAAATCAATCAGACACATTGAAATAATTAGGTAATTATCTCTTTGTGGCAACTCTGGCCTGACAGCTGGCGATCAACAGACCGCCTGGGACGCACGCTGAGTCAGCGCCTGTTTTTTGCCAGAATTCCTCACCCTATAGCGGGCAATATATGCCACTTACGATTTTTTTTATTTTTACCATGATCAGTGAACACAAATAGTTAGGAAGAATTTTTTTTTTTTTTTTTTTGTATGCACCTGTGGGTGTCAAATGGTATATAGCCATGCTCCATTTAAGGGTTAAAGAACACAAAGTAACTGTCACAACTGCAAGAAAATGACAGGTTGAATAACAAGAACTTTTCACACTAGAGATGCTGTACCAATGATGATACTTTAAAAAACGCTTGTGCTCTCTAGAGTGGAGTATTGCTGCACAATGACAGCCCCTTTCAAAGTTGGAGAAATTGCAGACCTGGAGAGCATGCAGAGATCCTTTACTGCTAGAATCCACTCAGTAAAACATCTAAACTACTGGGACCGACTAAAGAGCCTAAATCTGTACTCCCTTGAGCACAGGCAGGAGAGATACATAATAATCTATACGTGGAAAATAATTGAGGGGCTGGTCCCAAACCTGCACACAGAAATAACATCACATGAGACCAGAAGACATGGCAGGATGTGCAGAATACCCCCATTGAAAAGCAGAGGTGCAACAGGTACTCAGAGAGAACTATCAACATCAGAGGCCCGAGCCTGTTCAACACGCTTCCACTACACATAAGGGGCATAACTGGCAGACCCCTCATAGTGTTCAAGAGAGAACTGGATAAGCACCTCCAAAGGATACCTGATCAACCAGGCTGTGACTCATACGTCAGGCTGCGAGCAGCCGCGTCCAACAGCCTGGTTGATCAGTCCAGCAACTAGGAGGCCTGGTCGACGACCGGGCCGCGGGGACGCTAAGCCCCGGAAGCACCTCAAGGTCAAGGTAAGGTAGATACAAAGCTGGAGATTGAGGCATTTGTGAACTTTTGTGGTAATTGTGGTGTAGTGTTACCTCTAAGAGCCATTAATCTATCGTTACCTTAACTCTAAATATCTTAAATACTATGATGGAAAAGGTTGAATATCGTGTCAACACATATATCTCAGAGATAGAGACAAAGTGAGAAACACACAATCACAGTTAAATACAGTAGTTAAAGCAAAATGGGTTAAACACCTAGAGTTTGTGGTGAGTCAGGATACGAACTCAGAACAAAGCACTCGCGAAACGCTAGGCGAGTGTCTTACCAACTACACCATGGGTACTTGTGTTACTCCTGGTTCCCACACCACCAACACTGAACAACAACACTGCTCAAAAGGATGGAGCCAGAGTCGATCAACCACCACCAGACAACAGCCTGTGAACTGAAGTTGGGTTGCTGGTGGGCGAGGTCTGGGATCCCCCCCCCCCCCTTCCCCCTCCCAGGGAGGGGGAGTTATGCAGTCATCACAACAGCGCAGCGGCTGTGGTGACGTTATGCTTGTTTACTTGTTTTCGATTGGGGAGTTCTGCTTGCTCATTCGGCTTTTGGTTTGCAATTTTTAACCAGCTGTAGTTTGTTTTGGCATTCCTACCTTTCTGGGTGCCTGACCTGGTAGATGACAGACTGCTTCCAATTACATGGGGGTGTCTATAGGCCATTGCTCCTTGTGGCCCCTCTTGAGGGGGAGCCAGGTTGTGGTAATGGTCCCCAGTAGGCAGGGGAGAGCACCTCCCCTTTTGGGGATAGGAGAGCTGCTAATGAGCAGCGCGCAAGTTGGATGAAGATTTGCTTTTTTGTTATATGTTTGGGGGGGAGTTCTTTGACTCTGGACGTAGGTTGCAATTTCCATCAGTAGATGGTGAATATTAGGTAGCCTACCTTTCTGGGTGCTTTCCCCAGTCAATGGCAGGCATGACATACTCTAAATGTAGAGCGCTCATATTGCCACTGCTCCCTGTGCCTCTCTGAGGCGGCCAGGTTCTAGCTCGTGGTCCCCGGTAGGTACAAGAACTCCAGTAACTGATGACCCAAATTAATATAGCACATATCGGTCTGGATAGCTTCAGGGAGCCAGCGGGTCTCCCCAAATAAAAGTTAAGCAAGAAGATGAGGCAGGTCAAAACCGTCAGTAGTTTCAAAGCGTTATACTACAGTACTGGGAAAATGGGACACCACGAGCGTAGCTCTCATTCTGCAACTACACTTAGGTAATTACAGTAATTAGAAGGTACAACCTTTATACTTGGCCATATACAGTATTGCTGCCGCACCCCACTAACAGCCATAAATGCTTTTGTGCATGTGCTTTTACACCACTTACACTCTTTGATACACAGAATTATTGTGCAATGAAAATCTAAAATTATCTAATACAGGACTAGAAATCCCTAATATTTTCTAACTATTTATTACACCACTGGTTTTACAATAAAACATTTTATATTCATTTTAAACATTTTTTCATGTAATATATTATGTCACGTGAATCACCTGCATAGCAGTGGAACTGCCTTTTCCCTTCACCTTCAATGCCTCTCCACTGTAAGTATACATCTACACCAGCCCAGATGAGTCATCAGCCCTGCCACCTCTCCATACCCCCAAGGGCCTGGCACGGCCTGGCACGGCCTGGTATGCCTCGGAGGCAAGCTGGGCGCCTCTGCTAACGGGTAGTTTGCCCCCACAAACAAGCAGTTAGCCGCCTTCAACTGGCAGTGGTGCAGCTCAACACAAAGGCACCGCCAGCCACAACGACCAGTTTGCTAGATGACCAGATGTCCACCTCGCATTGACACTGGATGAGTCATCACTGCCGGACTATATAAAGGGCGCTGCCTCCCTGGAGAGCCAGTCTCTTCCTTAGTGCTCTAGGATCACCTATGTCTCTCTCACCCGTCGTCCGCCTCCAGCCAATGTCGTGTGACTGATGCCATGGTGGTATGGTAGCTGTCTTCAGTACACCAGTATATATATTTATGATTTGTATTCATTGTTTATAGTTTATTTTTGTATTAATGTCCTATTAACTTGTTCACTTTTGCATTACATGATAGCCAAGTATTTTCAGGGGCATTTATGTTCATTAATATTTCAGTAAATTGTTTAATTATTTATTTGATGATTTTCATTTGTTTCCACCTGCGACTTACACACTGCAGGGCCAATAGCAGCATTTTTGTTTATTATGTGAGGGAGAGCCATACCATCTGGGTTCAGTATAGCTGCGATACCACAACCCGTCACAATTAGCTTTGCGTTCCAAAATTGCTGGAGTTTTTTTCTAGTTGCTTATTTGACCTCCAGAGCCACCTATTGCTGCTACAATGTGGTAAAACTTAATATTGCACAACCTGTGATCAATGACCTTAAAATCAAATACATAATACTGCATGTTCCACAATAATATGCATGTGAAATGTAACTAAATATAAATCTAAGACCTTTATATATAAAGATCATAATCTTTCTTATCTTTCCACTAGCTCAAGACCCAGCTCTCAATTTAGTTTACATAACTTACCGTACACTATTTCATTTATAAAATTATTGAAAATAAGTACTGTATTCTCAAAATTTATTCCTAAATTATTTAAATATATTTCAACATTCAATCTAATGTAAACATACCTGTAGTCTTCTCCCTCAAACTGGTAGACTGAGTTAGTGGGGACATCAAGGGTGAATTGACGAAGAGATGACTCGCCAAGAGCCTCAAGTTTCTTATTCAACTCCTCAGTCTGGAAGTATACAAGTACCAGTACTGAACAATTGCACCACTTAGTTATAAACTATAATTTCCCTCTTACAATATAAATATATATAAATAAAAATTATAATAATACAGTATATTAATTTGAATTAAAAAATTGGCGTTGACTGTAATGAAATGTCATTTTCTAGGCGAGCCCCGGAGGCCCACTGGAGCTATCGGGCTAATGTGTGATATATTAGACCGGGGCATTAGTCTATGGAGTTAAGCCTACAGGGGACCACGAGCCAGAATCTGGCCCCCCTCAGAGAGGTTGCAGGGAGCAATGGCCCTGGAAAACTCCCCCTGGGGGTTGGGGGGTTTGTATCGTGTATCGTGCACGATACACGATTTTGTATTGTGTTTGTATCTTGTATCGTGCGGCGCTGGCGGAGCTGGCGCCGCACGATACAAGACGGCAGTATTAGGCATCAAATGACTGTCCTGAAAAAGCTGAGACAACCTACAAAGAGAGAAAATGCCAGAAAGAACGCCAGGAAACTTCATACTGTCGCCGAGACAAAACTCTCGGGTGGGACACCAACGAAGCCACCTGATCACCATACAAATGGTGATAAACCCAAGTCAAAAAGACCAGATGTGAGGAGCAGAGGAGAAGACCGAACCAGCCATGTACCAGACTGGTCTGACCCGATGGAAGAGGCAGAGCACGAGAAACATAGTTCGTACACCGAGCAAGCAGTGCCTGGAACCAAGGCTGGGTCAACCACCAAGGGGCCACAAGGACTACTCTCCCTTGGTAGGACTCTGAACCAGAACCCGAAGCAACAACTGGACCTGGGAGAAGAGGTACAGGTAACCCCCATTGTGACCAGTCCTGCCAAAAGGCGTCCACCGTGACAGCCTCGCAATCGGGGAAGGGCACCGCATTGATCGGGAGACGCCGAGACTACGCTGACACAAAGAGGTCCACGTTCAGGAGTCCGTACGTCCGGTAGAGCCAATGGAAGAAGACGGCGTTGACTGTCCATTCTGTAGACAGAGGAATGAACCAAGACAGGCCGTCTACCATGACATTGGACACTCCCCGGATATGAATCACAGACAGCTAAACCCTAAAAAGCCAACAAACGAGCAACTCGAAGCCACGAGACCCAAAGATACAAGGGCCAAAGAGAACCCCCCCCCCCCCTGTTCAGGCAATGAACCACCGGAGAACAGACTGAATGGAGCCGGATGGTCAAACCCCGAGCGACCCGAACCCTCCAAAGCGAGAGCCAAACTGCCGCAAACTTCCACATCGTGCTGCGAGCCTGACAGAAGAATGGACCCCCATTACCCATGACCGGCCTGGTGAGTACTGGTCACAAAGCCCCAGCCGAAAGACGACTCATCCGTGAACACATCGAGCAAGGGGTTTGGGAAGGCACCAAGGCACTGAACCCCAAAAACCCCGAAGGGGGAACCAGAACAAAGCAACAACACCTCCGGAAGGATACACAAGGAAGCGGTCCGAGTCCCAAACAAGATCCAGCCAGGTCCGAACCTGGGACGGAACCAGAAGGGACTTCCAAAATTTCACCAGGAACCCAAATCAGGCGAGGTGGGGAAGAACCAAATCCCTGGCAGGCCGACACGCAGACCGGCTGGAAGCCCAATCCAGCTAGTCGTCGAGGTTGGCCAGAACTCGAACCCCTAGCAGAAGCAAATGGGTCACTATGACCCGGGTCAGACACATGAAAAATCTGAGGAGCCAGATTCAAACCGAATGGAAGGCAACGAAAGCAGTAAGCGTGCTGCCCCATGAGAAACTAGCCAGACCTGGAACCCCGGACGAATCAGGATATGCCAATTTGTGTCCCGGAGGTCCAGAGACACCATTCAAGCATCCAGCTCGAAAAGAAGCCGGACCTGGGACAGAGTGGTCATATGAAAGAAGGGGCAAAGGACAGAATGAACCTCAGGACCACACAGTCCCATTTCAGCACTGGAAACCCACCTGAGGGACGTCGTCTTTTCGACCACGCCCAAGCATACCCACGCCAGGATGACTTGACAAGAGCACAGGAGAAGAGGCCTACCCCGCCAGCCCCAAAGTGCCCGAAGGAGGAGGAGCCACCCAATGCCACTGGAGCCCGGAAGAAACAACCCAAAACACCCACAAATCGTGGGACCAGGCATGGGCAAACAGACCTCCCCCGCATCGCTCTGTCAACAGGGCGAACTGCAAGAGGGCCGACGACCCTTTTGAGAAGCCGACAGACGTGCAGAGTGAACACTCTGCCCACCAGACACCATCAGCTCTGAAGGAGTGGCCGACCCTGAATCAGGCACCAATGGTCCACCACGACAGAAGATATCCTGAACCCCCGGCACGACCCTACCGGGCTTGATCCCAGTCAAAATGAGTCCGACAGGAGACGGCAACTAGACGAACCTGCCTGCAGATACTACAAACAGCAATAGACAAAAGGAAGGATGAAAAGCTAAGAGCCAAGGCCCAAGCAGATTCCAAAGAGTGAGCAAGCACTGCCTGACTTCACACAAGGTGAAAAGCAAAAACAAACACCACTTCCTTTAAAACCTGCGCAAACAACTTCAACAAGGCAACCCATGCTTGAGCCGCCGAAGCAAGCACACCAGACACTGGCCCAGAAGTCAGCGCCTCCACATCCTACTCGAGCCAATCCGAAGACAGCTCAAGCAGGGAAAAGGAATGAAAGACCAAAGCCAAATGCCCAGGGAACGCAAGTATTCAGCCACCAAGGATGCTGAAAGGGTGGGAACCTGCACGTGAAGCTGTACCTGGCTGCCATCTCGAGGAAGAACATGGGCAAACAAGCACGCTTTGAGGCGCTCAAACTCGCCCCCCAGGTAAACCTGAACCACAGTAGCAGTCTCCCACCATTCAAGTGTGTGCTGGTCCAACAGAACGCATGCCATGCTCCCAACGAAAAGAAAGGGCGGTCCGCCAACCAGGAAGACTCCGGCACCTCGTAAGGAACTTGGTATGAAAAAGTGGAACAAATTCAAAAGAAAGAAAGATCCATTATTGAGGCAAAATCCGGGTTTCACAGGAGGTACAAAGCAATAGCCTCCAAAACCTCCTAAGGCGTGATGTAGGAAGCCAAAAACCTCCGGAAAGAGGGAACCAAAGAACCCAAGGGAAACTGGAACCGAACCCGGGGAGGAGCCGAGCCCATACACTATCGCTCTCTTTGGACACCGATCATGTCCATTTTTTTTCTCTTAGAGTCCTAGCCTTGGACAGGACTCGCGTCCACTACAAAAATATTTGTATAAAATTCATTTTTTATCCGATCGACCTCGGGATAGTTTCAAAATAAGCGACTTTAGAATGCGCACAATTTGATACCAAAATGAAAGATGTAACATGAAACTTGATGTCAGAACACTTGAAAGATTATAAATACATTTTTGGGTCTAAATTTTAAGTTTTAAAATATTTGTTAAAATTCTATTTATTGTGCTATTACTATGAGACTAGTTTTAAAATGCGTGCCTTTAGATTGCAAACAATTTGATACCAAAACGAGCGATGTAACACGAAAATTGATGTCAGAACACTGGAAAGATATAAATAATTTTGATGATGAGCGTCCAAAATTAAAATACTGTATGTTAAAATTCCAGTTATTGCTCTATTATTATGAGACTAGTTTTAAAATGCGCGCCTTTATATTGTTAACAATTTGATACCAAAACGAGTGATGTAACATGAAAATTGATGTTATCAAACTGAACGAGTATACACATTAGGTTGTGGTGTGCAAATTGGTGCTCGTTCACGGGTAACTTTAGGCTTTGCTGCAGGGAGTCTCGCCAGGCTTTAGGACATTATATGCATATACAGTACACCTGCAGGGAATTAATTGCGAACATAATACCAAAACGAACGACGTAGCACGAGAATTAAGGTGAGAAAATTGAAACGAGTATACACATTTTACTGATTTTGTGCGCTCACGGGTAACTTTTCCGACTTTAGGCTTTGCTGTGGGGAGTCTCGCCAGGCTTTTGGGCATTATATGTATATACATCTGCAGGGAATTTAATTGTGAACACAATGATACCAAAATGAACGACATAGCATGAGAATTAAGGTGAGAAAACTGAAACGAGTATACACATTTAGGCGGCGTCTCACGCTCGCCCGCACCGTCCGCCCCATGACATCAACGTCTGCGACGCTCATGCGCCGCGCACAATAATGTTAAACTCGTACAGGGAGGGAGGATAAGAAAAATCCCACCCCTGCAACAACAAGCCCCGCATCGAGGGTACCAACACCCAAGTGGGTGTTGGTACCCACCCCCACACTGCTGCAATATGCCACAAGGCACAGCATTGTTCAAAGATTGGAGCCAGAGTCAAACGACCACCACTCAACACATCAGCCTCAGAATTGGGATTGGTTTGCCGGCGCAGGGGGTCTGGGGCTCCCCCTTCCCCCTCCCAGGGAGGGGGGGAAGCTGTGCAGAGAGCGGCGCAACAGTGATGGTGACGTCAAGCTTGTTTGCTTGTTTTCAGTTTGGAGAATTCGGCATTCTGTTGCAATTTTTAATCGGCTGTGGTTTGTTTTGGGACGCCTACCTTTCTGGCTGCCTAACCCAGAAGATGGCAGAATGCTTAGAGCCATATGGGAGTTTCTATAGGCCAGGATCTGGCTTGTAGTCCCTGGTATCTCCATCGAACTGAGTGACCCAATGGTCTAATACATAAATATCAGCCTGGTAAGCTCCAGGGAGCCGGAGGGGTTCTCGTCAGAAAATGTACATCTCCCAATTTTTTTAATTTTCAAATTACAGTACTATATTGTAATCTGTTTTAGAAAATAAATTTATTGGTCAAACTGTACTGTCAAGTATAGGAATAACCACCTTCTCTTCTGCTCTGCCAATGATAGCATCAATGTCCTCATCAGTGAATGCATCATACTTCCCTTTGAACACCTCATTGGCCCCATGTCTGATCATGGCCAACATCTCATCTTTAGCCAAAGCACTTGATTTGTTGTCCATCAAGCGACCTGAAAATGCAGAAGTCCAAATTATTATGGATCTTTTCAGGATGGATGAACTTCATTTCACGAGCATGTGTACTCCATTATAAAAAGCCTAAACAAATGTTTTTGCATATTATATATATCCTTGGGCCAGATTCACGAAAGCACTTACGCAAACACTTACGAACCTGTACATCTTTTGTCAATCTTTGGCGGCTCTGTTTCCAATTATTAAACAGTTAATGAGCTCCGAAGCATCAGGAGGCTGTTTATAACAATAACAACAGTTGAATGGGAAGTTTTCATGCTCGTAAACAATTTAATAAATGTAACCAAAGCCGTCAAAGATTGAGGAAAGATGTACACGTTCGTAAGTGCTTGCGTAAGTGCTTTCGTGAATCTGGCCCCTTGTGTATAATAACTACAAAGCAATCATAATTAAGTATTCAATACTGTGTACAGAAATAATGTGAATTAAGTTGAACAAAACTGCTAGACGTAAAACAGTACATCCAGTAAGATGATATTTTAACTTTTTCACACAACTATCCTCTAAAATGTTAACTATATTACTGCAATTAATTACATCAGCTGCTGCAACTCATAATTTCCCTTTCTTACCTTGCTGGATGATCATCTTGTCCAGACGGAGCTTAACCTCGGCACGCTCCACTAATTTCTCTTCCATAGAGTTTTCTTGAATAAACCGAAACACTTTCACTTGTTTCTTCTGTCCAATACGATGTGCTCTATCCATAGCCTGCACGAAAAGTATATATATTTTATTACATTCCGATGTCTTTCTGAATTACATAAATTATGCCAAAACAAACTTAAAATTTAGAGGTAAACAATAATATTCATAGCACATAATTCTGTCCCCCATTGCAATTATTCTGCATCTCTTGGGTATCATGCTGACCTTTATGTACCTCCAAACCTTCTCATTATTCTCACTTGTCATAACACAATGCATATATATTAACAATTAGCACCTTTACTTTACCAAAACATGATTTACAAACACATCACCTTTGTATTGCAGTTACTTATTTCCCCATAGCAATCTTTATTAATTAAATCTCATTTATTTTTTGCTTCTGTTTATAAAAATTAAATTCTACTTTTCATAGCATCTTTGATCAGTCTCTCCTAAATCTAGCATATCGAACTTTCCATGTTCAAAAACCTTTCATCACCACCTTTATCTTCTATTTACAGCCTTACTTCCCTCCTGGGAGCAGCTCATGTAATGCCCATTACAGAAGTTTCTTCACAACACACTGTCAACACACACAAACCTTTCACTCTTCTAAGCTCTCCCTTTCTTTTATATATTGCTTAATTTTTTTAAAATTCCAAGATAATGGTAATCTGTCTCTACCAAATGATCCCACACAGACAAATGAATATATTTAATGTATAGGATACAAACCTGCAAGTCCATCTGTGGGTTCCAATCCGAGTCGAAAAGGATAACAATGTCTGCCGTGGCCAGGTTGATACCTAGACCGCCAGCACGAGTTGATAACATGAACAGGAACTTATCTCTGTTGATATAAAAAGCAAGTATTAATTATAGTACAATAATTGATTTAAAAGTTTGACAAAAATTGGAATAAACCTGTGAGTTCAATATAATCTAAAAACAATACCTGCAAGAATCTTTTAACCATAAAACTTCTTTACACTCACGAATTTGGCATATTATATTCATCAATCTGCCTGTGGCGGTCTTCATGTGAAGTCTGCCCATCAATACGACAGTATGAATATTTGCGCCAGACACAGTAGTCTTCCAAGATGTCTAACATGCGAGTCATCTGAGAAAAAAGCAAGACGCGCGAACCCATGTCTCGAAGCTTGGGAAGCAGCTTATCAAGCACTATCATTTTGCCAGCATTTTCCACCTGTCAAGACAAGAACACAACTGTATTCCCATTTTACTGGGAAATGAAGTACACACAATCCCCCAACTTATGAGTGGAACATGTTCCGAAAAAGGTATTCGTAAGTTGGGACTAAATTTCCTATACGTCCAATGCTATAAATGGAATGCATTCCTCTAACTATAAAAAATCTACATATAAAACTCAAATTTTTTAGACATTTAAGATAACGTTTTGTTAACCTTAAATAACTGAATTGTCCTGCTTGTCTAATTTGATGCTTCTTGAAGGGAAAAAGAGTAACTGCTAAAGGAAGAGGTAGTAAAAGTGATGATGCATGGGAACTGATTAACCCCTAACACTTTTTACATCTTCCTATCAGTCATTAACCTCTGTGATGCGCCGAGTTTACTGTGACATCCCCCTGTGGCGCACAAAATCAAGTGTTCGCCAAAAAATTGTTGATCTTTTGTAAAATGATAAATTCCCTTCTCTGAACACATACATGTAAAAAAACTAAAAAATTCCACTTACTTTAGTTGTGGGGACATGGAGAAGGGGGAATCATGGGCTGGTCACCCTTGCCTGAGGCTCCCAGAGGCGGTCACGTGGGCCATTCAAGCACCGCGAGTTGCCACAAATATATTTTCAATTATTTGTTCTATGTATTTCCAATGCGGTTTTATTAGTTTTTTATCGAATATGATGCATATTTGTGTCCTTTACAATATGTATACAATAGAACGTTCATAATGTTCCACGGAACTGCGATACATGTGTCAGTAATACGTCCACAATAAATGTTTATTGTCGCAATATTACTTGCTCAAAATTTACAAAAATTACAACATGTACAGTTTCACACACTACACAGTAACACACTGTATTACACCTAGGATATTCTGGGAATTTTTTCCAAGATGGCTGCCTCTTACTGGAGGTCTCAAGAGTTCATTTCATACACAATCTACCGCTCACGCATTTTGAATGACTACGAAATATTAAAAAAGGTGTTTTCTTAGTTGCCGCAGTTTCCCACCGACCGAGTTTTCTCAGTTGGCGCAGCACAGTGGTTTATCGAGGAACTTTTCCTCAATAAATTCCTAGACACTGAGAGACATTAAACACATTCCCTTACACCTGAGACCTTTTAACTAAGCAGTCAATAGGTGCCAAGGAATTACCAGGACAGCTGTTTTGGACTGCATCATGTGGAAGGTCAGTCATTGGCCAAAGACCTCAAGAATTCCAACAGGCTTTCTGTTCCCAACAATGGGCAACAATGCAATAAATATTTATTGCCTCATGGCTCCTACTGACTCTCTCAAACATTTATATTAGCAAGGCTACAAAGTGATAAATGTTATTTAATATTATCAAGAACTATACAATAATAAGTAATTGTCAAATTCATAACTTGTCCATTTTCAAACTACTAAGCCTTGGAAGGAGAGGGAGAAGTTTGCTGTGGACAAAAAAGAATGACTATTTACCAGGTGAAAGTCTGTTGTGAACGGTGGGCCCGGCTCTGCTCCATCAAAGAGATATGGGTGATTACAACACTTACGCAGCTGCATTAGAATGTTCTGCAGACGCATCTTCTCTGTGCGACCTGCACCATTTACAACGTCGATGTCTTTCATCAAGATCTTCATGTACCTTTAAAAATAAAATGTAATTTATATTTTTGGGAAACTAAAATTAGTTATGGGTGAATTTAAATTCACCCTTAACTAGTAAATTAATGAATGAGAATCATTCATTCTCTAATGAAGGGAATGAGATTTTTTAAATTAAAGCACACAATTAGAGATGTCTGCCTTCAGGTGATTCCAGAAATTAGAGTCCCTGCGCCCCAGTCTATAACCTCACCTCTTGGTTTACCATCTGATCGACCAGACTGTTGGTCACTGCTTATCGCATATCACAGCCCGTCCTCCAAACAAAGATCCAAAAGTGATTCCATGCACCCGCCAAACCCCCTGTTTATGAATGAAAAGCGGTTTACACACGACTCACAACTGCTGATGTTCGAACATATCCGGAACAAGTGTTTCACTGACGAATTTTGTTCGAATCACAACGCTATAAATGCTTCGCCCACGTACTACAAATACAAATAATCGCCAACAGAACCTAAACACCTAACCTAACCTAACCTATGCCTATATATGCACAATATGCTAATATATTATAATATTAATTTATATTTGAGAAAATTCTTGTTCTGAATGAACAGCATGTTAAAATTTATGAATGCGTCTGTGGGGGCGACCGCTGGATGTAATGGACTTGAGTCGAGGACGGGTTGCATGTCAACATAGGAACCAAAGCCTGTTTGATCAGGCACCATTTAAAGGTGTTTATCAAGGTCACTCTAGAATAACAGGCATTACTAAGATATCTTGCAGGTTTTAAAGAGGGTACTGACAAGCCTTTAACCCATAATGTTTATAGAAGTGTTTGAATTGTAATTAATGCAACTCAACTTTTTTTTTATCAGACTACAGTATTTATGCACATACTATCAAGCCTCCTAATCTCATGATTTATACTTTGTTTCTTTGTTCCAGTGACAATACTTGCACTTAACTGACAGAAGATGGTTCAAGGAGATCTTTGCAATTAAAACAAACAGCATTTTCAATCCACAATTGTCTTGGTTAGCTTGAATGAATGAATAACATAAACAAAGCTGGGTAATCCCATCAGCAAATGTTTCATATGTGTAACAAGAATTTTAAATATTTAAAATTTTAATTGAGCTTTGAAAGCAAAAATGGAGCAGTTAAGATTTTATAAATGCTAGGGTTCATGCTAGAAAAAACTATTGCAATTAGATTCAGTAAACTTGCATCAGCAACAGACTCTGAAAATCTATTAATATAACATGAAACAGTAAAAATGACAAAGGTCTTAATGTAATAATAAAAGTACCCACCAGTCACGTTGCATTTTTGAAAGCTGAATGTAGACTTTCGTCTCTTTCTTGGGCAAGAGACGCTTTTCCACGTCTGATTTAAGCCTACGTAGCAAGAATGGCTTCAGTACAGCGTGTAGACGTTCAACTAAGGAAGCATCACCCAAGCAGTTGTTGGTATTAAACCAAGAGTCAAAATCCTGCAGAATTATAAATCTCAATATACCACTTAAAAGTATTAAAAAAACAAAACAAAATAAGAAATGGCTTAGACTACTACCAAAAGGCAAGGATAATATGTAGACCCAAACTAAGACAATAAAAAGAGCAAGAAAGGCTACACTAACAAGAAAGGCTATGATGGAGAAATTTACTACAATGCCTTCAAAGACCATGATAATAAGAAAAAGACTACAATAAGCAAGACTTGATTAATAATTTATTTTGTTGAATGCAAATGAAAGTCTTTCTGAGCATGGCACACTTTTACCACCTTTTACCAACTACTACTGGTTCCCTAGACAACAACAACAACAACATGCAGAGTGAGGGGCAACTATTACTGGTTCCCTAGACAACAACAACAACATGCACAGTGAGGGGCAACTACTACTGGTTCCCTAGACAACAACAACAACAACATGCACAGTGAGGGGCAACTACTACTGGTTCCCTAGACAACAACAACAACAACATGCACAGTGAGGGGCAACTACTACTGGTTCCCTAGACAACAACAACAACAACATGCACAGTGAGGGGCAACTATTACTGGTTCCCTAGACAACAACAACAACATGCACAGTGAGGGGCAACTACTACTGGTTCCCTAGACAACAACAACAACATGCACAGTGAGGGGCACAACTATTACTGGTTCCCTAGACAACAACAACAACATGCACAGTGAGGGGCAACTACTACTGGACAACAACATGCACAGTGAGGGGCAACTACTACTGGTTCCCTAGACAACAACATGCACAGTGAGGGGCAACTATTACTGGTTCCCTAGACAACAACAACAACATGCACAGTGAGGGGCAACTACTACTGGTTCCCTAGACAACAACATGCACAGTGAGGGGCAACTATTACTGGTTCCCTAGACAACAACAACAACATGCACAGTGAGGGGCAACTATTACTGGTTCCCTAGACAACAACAACAACATGCACAGTGAGGGGCAACTACTACTGGTTCCCTAGACAACAACAACAACATGCACAGTGAGGGGCAACTACTACTGGTTCCCTAGACAACAACAACAACATGCACATTGAGGGGCAACTATTACTGGTTCCCTAGACAACAACAACAACATGCACAGTGAGGGGCAACCACTACTGGTTCCCTAGACAACTACAATGTGCACAGTGAGGGTCAGTGATATTGATGAAAAATCTGAATACTTGTTATATTTATTGTAAAAGAAAACATTTGTTTGCACATAATTTTGACACTGATATGTGAGCGTGTACTGAATGTATTCAAGTTAAATTATCATATAACATTAAGTGACAACATATTGAACAATATCAGTGAAAAAAACCAGCGTTGATTGTAATGAAACGCCATTTTCTGGGCGAGATTCAGAGGCTCCTGAAGCTTACCAAGCTGATATGCAGAAGACCAAGACATCAGTCGATTGGAGTTCTTACCTACCGGGGACCACGAGCCAGAACCTGGCCCCCTCAGAGAGGCACAAGGCACTATGGCCTATGGAAGCCCCCCCCCCCCATGTATTTGAAAGCATTCCATGTCAGCCAGCAACTGAGGTTTGGCAGGCAGAAAGGTAGGCATAATAAAACAAACCCTACATGGTAAAAATCGCTACCAAAACCCTAACAGATAGGCAAAACTCTCAAACTAAAACAAGCAAAAGTCACTAATGCCATTGTGCCAATCATCCGTGCATCTCCCCTCCCCCAGGGAGGGGAAGGTGGGCCCCAGGACTCCACCCTCCTTGCCAGCCGCTACAGCATTCAGTTTTGAGGTCGAACACTAAAAAAAACACAAAAAAACGCCGACCAGAGGGAGGGTGCCAGGGAGCCTCAGGGGCTCACCCAGAAAATGGTGTTTCATTACATTCAACGCTGGTTTTCTGTGGGGAGCCCATACAGCTTCCTGGAGCTACCTAAACAAAGAAAAGTGACGAGGGGACTTACCCGGGAGGCGGCCGCCACTCGTGTCTCAACTCAAAGTAGAGACAACTGGCTGCAACCTGCAACCCAAAGCAACACACGCCTGACTAAGACCAGGACTTTGACTAATTGACTAAGTAACGTGCGGCCAGGACACTGTTCTACCCCCAAAATCCTGTGCCAAAATGTCAGCTCAAGACATGTTACCAAACACGGCAGCCAAAGCAGCAAACTTACAAACGTCATGGGCACGAGGATAGACAGCATGCTGGCTAGACTGAATAATCCTGCGGATGACCTGGGAGATCCGAGCTCTGGAACAGGGAACAAGGGAAACCGGGTCAATCCAAAGCGCATCCCCCGGCCACAGTGGTCGTGGCACGCAGGTAACGGTGAACAGCCGCAACTGGACACAACACATGATGGTCTATGATGCTTGGTTGGTCAGGCTGTGGGTCCCAAGGACCCGTGGAAATCCTTGGAAAAACAATCCCGTGCCGAAGGGGCCACCACAAACCGAAGAGGAGAGAGAAAGGGGAGAACCCTGTCCAAGGACCATGACGGCTCAGGCGGCACATGAAGATGTGCCGGAGGCGAGACAAAGCACGAGAAATCTTACAGAATGGAGCGAAAATATCATCCACCCCGAATGAAAGCTGAAGCGGCTCCAACTTAACCAGAACCTGAAATAACAGTTGGACCAGGAGAAAGAGGTACAGGTAACCCCACCTCGACCAGTCCTGCCGAAAGGTGTGTACTGCGACGGCTTCGCAGTCGGGGAAGGGTGCCACATACGCAGGAAGACACCGAGACCACGCCAGCATGAAGAGGTCCACGTCCGGGAGTCCGGGAGTCCGTACATCCAGCAGAGCCAACTGAAGGCGGCAGCGTCGACCGTCCATTCCGTGGACAGGGGAATGAGCTGAGACAGGCCATCCGTCGGGACGTTAGACATTCCCCAGACATGAACCATACGGAAAGTCAAACCCCGAGGATCCAGCAAACTAATCACTCGAAGAGACCAGCCCCAAAGAGCCAAGGACCAAAGAGAACTTCTGTGGTTAAGGCAATGAACCACCAGAGAACAGTCCGAAACGAGCCTGATCATCGAACCCTGAGCGACCCGAACCCTCCGAAGAGATAGCCAAACCGCCACGAACACCCGCACCGTGCTGTGAGCCCAATGGAAGGACGAATCCCACGGGCCTTAGCCGGGCTGGTGAGCAGTGGTCACAAAGCCCTAGCCGAGAGACAACACATCGAGCGAGGGCTCGGGTAGGCGCCAAGGCACTGAACCCAGAAAAACCTGAAGAGGAAGCTGGCAAAGTAACAACTGATGCAAAGCCCCCCCAGGGGCCGAACTCAGCGATCACGAGAGCGGTGGAAGGGAGATCACTGAAGGACAACGTAGTCATCTGAAAATAGGGGCAAGGAATCCAGGTTCATGCAGGACAAGTCCAGAATGAACCTCAGATCAGCATAGTTCCATTTCGGGACTGGAAACAGGCGGGAAACCTACCTAAGCGCACAGCTGGCCCACCTCTACTAGAGGAACCCCAAACCCTGGCACGACCCTTCTGGGAAGGCCCACCACGCCCCCCCCCCCCCCCCCCCCCCCCGAGAACCAACAAGTCCAACATGGGACGACAACTAGACAAAGCCGAAAACGAGAACTGCATGACAGCAGACTCTGCAAACAGCAACAGACAAAAGGGGTGACGAAATCCTAAGAGCCAGAGCCCAAGCGGATTCCAAGGAGAGAGCAAGCACAACCTGTCGACACGCGAGGCGAGAACCAAAAAACAGACACACCTCCTTGAGAATTGGCACAAACAACTTTAACAATGCAGCCAATGCCCAAGCCACTGAGACAAGCGCACCGGACGAAGACCTGGCAACCAGCACGTACACATCCTCCTCACGCCAGTCTGAAAACAGCACGAGAATGGAAAAAATGCAAGACCGAGGCCAAATGCCCAAAGGCGGGCAAATCCTCAGCTACCAAAGCAGCCAAAAGGGAAGAAACCTGCACGTGAAGCTGCACAATGCCAACATCCCGAAGAAGCAGAGGAAAACAAGCACTCATTAAGGTGCTCAAACTCGCTCCCCCCACCCAGATAAACCTGTACCATAGTGAAAGTCTCCTGGAAGGAAGGAACCGAAGAACCCAGGGGAACCTGGTACCAAACCCGGGGAGGAACCGAACCCAAATCATATTCGTACAGGGAAGGAAGGTACGAAACCCCCGCCCCTTGCAACAACAAGCCCCACGACAAGGGCAACAACACCCAAGCAAAGTCAAATGGGGCACAGCCCCCACCCCCCCCCACCCCACCCCAAGTCAACTCCACCTCAGCCAAGGAATCCTCCATGCCAGGACCCGGGCCAGAGCCGTCCTCTACACCCTCTACCCCAAAAGAAAAGGCAGTCCAAGGAAAAGGCTAAGAAGGGGGGATTCCGCTTGCAAGACTTGGAAGCCTCGGCAGGAAGAACATGCGCGAATGCCTCCAACACCGACCCGGAAGGGGCAATCTCCGAAGATTCCCAAGTCTCGCTACCATCTAAACCCCGCCCCGACTCTGAAAACCTCAGACGTTTGGAGCTGGAAGCAAGGGGGGAGGGGTGGAAACAGGATGAACAACACCAACAGGGAAAGGACATGGGAGCGCGGACAAAACCAAAGTTGAAGCGTGTAACGCCCCCAAATCCAGGTCCCTATAACTCAAGTGGGGCAGCCTCGTGGCATCTCGTGGCATCTGGGTGAGCAACCAATCTAGCATGCTGCAGCAACCGATATCGAGCATGCAACGCTGAAGCTGTCTGTGCCCGAACATCAATATCAGAAGACTAGGTAATCTGGAGCACGAGCAAGGAGCAAGACTCACAAGACTTCAGGTCAAAGGTGTCATTGACCCAGCAGGCAGCATGACAGAGGCAAAACTGGTGGGTGTCACCCTGAGACAAGGGGACAGAGCATCCTTCAAACTCGCACTTGGTGAGTTGGAAACCAGAAGACACATCCATAGGTCCAAAGAGCCCCAATGGGGTTTTCAAGGGCCCTTAGGTTGACTGCTAAGGGAAGCCCAGGCAAGGTATTGCTAAGCGACTGGGCCCAAACTACCAAGAGAACTGCTGAAAACCTGGACCCGTGTGATGTGTACAAGCATGGGGGCCTAGCAGAAGACCACCAGTACAACAAAAGGGTGGATAAACCAAGAGGGCAGACCCCCACCAGCCAATATAAACAAATAGAAAAAGAAAACCCCTCGAAAGCACAATGTCCCCAAGAGGAACAGAACCGGCCGCTGTGTATAATGGGAGACAAGCTGCACAATACCTTGTGCCCCTACGACTTTCTACCAAAGACCAAACAGTGGCAACAAAAAAAAAAAACTCTGCTTGCCCCAAGGGCAGGCAATTGCTGAGCAGCAAAAGACCCCTAAGAAAGCAGTTCCAGAATGCCCAGTGGAAGATAAGCCCAAGTTGCAAGGCAGTACTTACAGGGCACTTAGGGAAGGTGGCCCTAGGCACATGCAGCCCCAGTGTTGAAGAATTACTCCTAGCCTGCACACCACACAGCAGAAAACACTACAAGGCACAGAACTGCAAGAGTCAGAGGCCAGATTCGACGACCATCACAGTCTACATCAGCCAAGGAACTGAATGATGTAGCGGCATTCAGCGGTTGGGGCCTGCAGGAGGTCCGGGCCCCCACCCCAGGGGTGGGGAATGCCGCCTTCGGGGGTGAGGGAATGTATTTGGAATGCTTCCAAATACATGTGGGTTTCCATAAGCCATTGCGCCTCGTGCCTCTCTGAGGGGCCAGGTTCTGGCTCGTGGTCACCGCAGTTGCTCTGATGTAGTGCATGTCAGAAATTGGATATTTCTAGGCTCATTCACGTCATTGGTAAGTAAAGTTACGTCCCCCCCCCCCCATAGTCAGGGAACACATTTCAAAATTTTCTTGTTCCTGTACTAGAAACGTAGTAATAAAAAATGACTACAATAATATTTGTAAAAGCTTGGAATTTTAACAAAATTATTTAATGATATATTTTTTATTCTCCATTCTAAGAACCACACAAGTCTAGAAAATATCCTGGTTGATACCTGGTTGATATCTGGTTGATGGGGTTCTGGGAGTTCTTCTACTCCCCAAGCCCGGCCCAAGGCCAGACTTGACTTGTGAGAATTTTGTCCACCAGGCTGTTGCTTGGAGCGGCCCGCAGGCCCACATACCCACCACAGCCCGGTTGGTCTGGCACTCCTTGAAGGAAACAATCTAGTTTCCTCTTGAAGATATCCACGGTTGTTCCTGTAATATTTCTGATGCTCGCTGGTAGGACGTTGAACAACCGTGGACCTCTGATGTTCATACAGTGTTCTCTGATTGTGCCCATGGCACCTCTGCTCTTCACTGGTTCTATTCTGCATTTTCTTCCATGTCGTTCACTCCAGTACGTTGTTATTTTACTGTGCAGATTTGGGACCTGTCCCTCCAGTATTTTCCATGTGTATATTATTTGGTATCTCTCTCGTCTCCTTTCTAGTAAGTACATTTGGAGAGCTTTGAGATGATCCCAATAATTTAGGTGCTTTATCTCGTCTATGTGTGCCGTATATGTTCTCTGTATTCCCTCAATTTCAGCAATCTCTCCTGCTCTGAAGGATGAAGTGAGTACTGAGCAGTACTCAAGACGGGACAACACAAGTGATTTGAAGAGTACAACCATTGTGATGGGATCTCTGGACTTGAAGGTTCTCGTAATCCATCCTATCATTTTTCTGGCTGACGCAATACTTGCTTGGTTATGTTCCCTAAACGTTAGGTCGTCGGACATCATTATTCCCAAATCCTTGACATGCTGTTTTCCTACTATGGGCAGATTCGATTGTGTTTTGTACCCTGTATTATGTTTAAGATCCTCATTTTTGCCGTATCTGAGTACCTGGAATTTATCACCGTTAAACATAATGTTATTTTCTGCTGCCCAATCGAAAACTTTGTTAATATCTGTTTGTAGTTTATCAATGTCTTTAGCAGAGGCAATTTGCATGATGATTTGTTTCATCTGCAAAGGATGACACGTAGCTGTGACTTGTGTTTTTGTCTAATCTGATATGAGAATAAGGAACAGCAGTGGTGCAAGGACTGTACCTTGAGGTACAGAGCTTTTACAGAGCTTCCTGGGAGACATGTTGATACCAAAAGAGATGAACCTGAAACTGGTGGGTTAGCAAAACCTGAAACTCTCCGACACATGACGTTCCAATGTCACAATGGGATAGGTGCCCTTGTTTTCCACAGAACCCTTACCTACTACTGTAATAACATGGAGGCAACCCCTTCCTAATACAGTGATAATGTGTTAATGGAAGGTTTTGTTTTCCCTGGAACCCCTTACCTAATACAGTGACTGTGTCAAACCTGCTTTATCAAAAATAAATAATGAAAACACAGTGTGTCCAACATGTGGAAATAGTCGAGTCAAGATAGCAGGACTTTGGGTCCTTATACACATCTTTTTAATATGACAGTGACCCGATCAAAAAATATTATACTTATACTACTCAAATTTAAAAAAACTCACCTCAGATGAGCTGAAGACTTCAGGAAGCAAGAAATTGAGTAGTGACCATAGCTCATGCAGGTTGTTCTGAAGAGGAGTACCCGTCAACAACAAGCGGTTGGTGGTTCTAAACTCTCGAACAATTTCTGAAAGCTTGCTTTTTTCGTTCTTAATGCGATGGGCCTCATCAATAACCATGTACCTGAATTAACAAATCTCTTACTGAACAAATAAAAACTACATAAAAAATGCATGTATCTGTGTAACAACAAGACAAGTTATATTTACACCCAGTACACTGTTCCTCCTTAAACCTTACACCATAATACTGTTACCCCCTCTCACCCTATTCTTCACCAGGTGCCCCCTTATCCATATACCACATTGCTCACACTATTCTTCACCAGGTGCCCCCTTATCCATATACCACATTGCTCACCCTATTCTTCACCAGGTGCCCCCTTATCCATATACAACATTGCTCACACTATTCTTCACCAGGTATCCCCTTACCTATACACCACATTACTTGCCTTATCCTTCACCAGGTACCCTTATCTTACACAACAATTTTGTTCAACTTCAGATCAAAGAACAAATTTAATATTGTCCACAATTAACTGCAAAGTGCAGAGCAAGAAGCATTTATTTGAGTGTTATGGCAGCAGCCCTTGCTTGAGGTTAGGGGTACCTGGATTGTACCTGGAGTAGGTCCAGGGAGTTATTATACATCCCAAACCTGGCCTGGTGGCTTCCTAGCCAAGTCATCTATTGCACATGATGTTAAGGTTAGTGTTTTATGATACATATTATTGTGCTTTGAGGAATGTATTGTTCTCTGAACTTTGTAGCTGAGAGGCAGTGATCAACCACAAGGTTCAGAGTTGGCCTCTGCTCAGTAAGGTACAGTACCACATACTCGGATCACAAGCTCATCAAAGTGCAAACTAACGACAAAACTCGAAATAGGTACAAAAAAAATAAAAGATCACATAAAAGGGGATATTCAGTGAATTCAATTTTAATAAAAGGATAGATTGGGAAAAACATGGAACTTTCAAACATTCAATGGGAACTGTTCTAAGTAATACAAATCCCACACAAGGAATAGAACAATTAACGGCCAATCAGTGCAAGATGTGTTCCTTTGCGGAAAGTCAGAAAAAAGAACAGGTTAGAATGAGAATGCAGACAGCACAACAGAAAAAAAATAATGAAAATGCCTAAGCAGACAACTATCCCTACAAAGAAAGACTAATTTAAACAGGGAGATTAAAGAAATAGAACTGAGACTGAAGCAATCACATTAGATTGAAGAAATGCAAATAGAAAGCCATGTAAGAGATAAATAAAAAACCAGAGTTGAATGTAAAGAAACGCCATTTTCTGGGCGAGTCCCAGAGGCTCCTCGGAGCTATCCAGGCTGATGTGGATATCCATAACTGGCATTAGTTGATGTGGGTGGAGTTCTATGCCTACCAGGGACTACGAGCCAGAATCTGGCTCCCTCAGAGAGGCATGGAGAGCAATGGCCCATAGAATGCACATGTGAATTTAGAGCATTCTATATCTGCTATCGACTGGGACAGGCACCCAAAAAAGTAAGCACAAAAACCCCCTAATATGGTTAAAAACAACGAAAATAGACAAATGAGTGGACAGAACTCCCCAACTGAAAATGAGCAAACAAGCATGACGTCACACGAGCCGCGCCACATGTCTGTGTACAAAAGTTCCAATATGTACAATAAAATAAAAAAAGTACAATATGTAGTTCCAATCTACAAAAGTGGAAGCAGGGAAGACCCCCTTAATTATAGACCTAAATCATTGACAAGTGTAATAGTCAAAATATTGGAAAAAATAATTAAAACTAAATGGGTAGAACACCTGGAGGAAAACGATATAATATCAGACAGACAGTATGGTTTTCGATCTGGAAGATCCTGTGTAAAGAACTTACTCAGTTTTTATGATCGAGCCACCGAGATTTTACAGGAAAGAGATGGTTGGGTTGACTGCATCTGTCTGGACCTAAAAAAGGCTTTCGACAGAGTTCCCCATAAGAGGTTGTTCTGGAAACTGGAACATATTGGAGGGGTGACAGGTAAGCTACTAATATGGATGAAAAATTTCCTAACTGACAGAAAAATGAAGGCTGTAAGCAGAGGCAAGGTATTGGATTGGAGGAATGTCACGAGTGGAGTACCACAGGGTTCAGTTCTTGCACTGGTAATGTTCATTGTAATGTTCAGGAGTATGAGAACTCCCAGAACCTCATCCAGGTACAGTCCAGGTACACTGCTGTCCGTGCCTATGGACTTTCACGCAAGGATGGCCTCATAATAAAAAAATTTCATTCCTGTGTTTTGTGGAGCATGTTTGTTCTCAGAACTTTCAGTGGAATGATGCCCTTGAAGAGAGGTACAATAACTTATCGTTTTCAAATAATTAGGCACGCTGCCACTATTCCATGCAATTGGTAAATTCTCCACAAACATTTTTTTTTAATATCCACAACATTTAATAATTTCTGAATATAATTAATACTTGCAGCTTTCCCAAATTGAGGTTTCCTTACTGATATATACGCCTCCTCCATGGATATGTCAGCTGTCCTATGATCCTACACTCTTCTCCCACAATAAAATCAAATGATAAAAATAGCACCTATTTTATCATTCCAACCATTAGGCTTTCAAACACTTTCTACAACAGGAAGAAGCAAGGCTTTTACTGCAACACATTAAATCAAAATCTGTAAACAATAACACAATAAAGTGGACATTATTTAGTTCAACGTGATAAATATACTGACCTCCAATTGAATTTTTTAAAAACGGATTTTTCTCTAATACACATCTCGTAGGAAGTGATGCACACGTCCCACTCTCCGGGCATCATTACCTCCCGGATGAATGTAGACTGCAGAATAAAAGTTATGTTTTATTATTACAGATCAAGGAAGGATGCAAGTTATAGAGCAGACAAAATATGATTGTAAAAGTTTACTGAAAACTATTTTCATATTATATATAATAATTACCCCAGTTGCCACCTCCATGGAGTACCTAAATATTCACTAATGTACAAAAAAAAAAGCATACAATGTAATGAAACGGCATTTTCTGGGTATGCCCCCTGATGCTCCCTGGAGCTATCGGATTGAAATTAGCGATATTAGTCTGGGGCATCAGTTATTCGGAGTTTGTGCCTACCGGGGACCACAAGCCAAAACCTGGTTCCCTCAGAGAGGCCCAAGGAGCAATGGCATATGAAACTCCCTTGTATGAGGGTACAGTATATTCATGTCTGCCATCAACAAGGGTTGAACACCCAGAAGGGCAAGCGCCCCAAAACAGACACCTCCTGGTAGAAACAACTGACACCAGAGACCAAACAGAGGCTAGGAACTCCCCCCAAGGAAAACATGATAACAAATACCACACTGAGTGCTGCTCGTCTGCGGCGACCCCTTCTCCCCCACCGAGCCGGCAGCCTGGGAGCCTTCGGGGCGTACTCAGAAAATGGCATTTCCTTACATTCAACCCGATTTTCTGTATGGAGCCCCCGTTGGCTCCCTGGAGCTAGCTTCCCAAACAGCAAACTTAACACTTTGGCGTACCCCGCGCGCCACCTCTCAACTGTGCGATATGGGATCCAGGGTGTCACAGGAGCGTGCGTAAATTCTGAAAAGTGTATACTCTCTTCAACTTTGTCACCTTAATTCTCGTCTTACGAGATTAAATTTTGTATCATTGTGTTCGCAATAGAATTCTCTATAGCACTAAATGCATATAAACTCCAAAAGCCCGGCTAATTACTTTCAGCAAACAGAGAAAGTGCGAACGAGTTACCCAGGAGCGCACAAACACGATAAAATGTTTTCACTATTTTCACTCTGGTCACCTCAATTTTCGTCCTAGGTCTTTCATTTTGATCTCAATGGGTTTGCAATAGAATTCTCTAGAGGAACATTAGCATATAAAATAAAAAACCTGGTCACGCTCCAACCGCCGACGAGTTGAAGACGGGCCACGCGTTAGCCGCAAGTGAGCGCTAAGACGCCTTCCAGCTACACTCCCAATTCCCGCCCTTTTCAAGCCTTTCTTTCGCAATTTTCTTCCTGGAAGGGCCTTGTTCATGATCACTATCCATCGTGGAGTAAGCGTAGATAGTTTCTAAAGCCGCAGTAAGAAATATAGCCACGGAAAATAGCCGAAATGTTCACACGTTTGAGATGCGAGGGGAGGCGACATTGGTCACAACAGTGGAGCAAAAACAATGGGCCCAAGGCGTGTGCCAAGCTGCCTGAGGGCCACGAGGCTCAACAAAGAAAATGGGAAGACATCGGCGCGCATTTTAAAACCAGTCCCAAAAAAATCGGATAAAAACCTGATTTTTGGCGATTATTTAAAGTGGATGACGCAATGCTGCGTCATCCTCGGCATTACCGACAGTAAACGGATGACGCAATGCTGCGTCATGCCCGGCGAAAGTGTTAATAATAAAGTTTTCGACTGGGCATCAGAAAATAACATGACGTTTAACAGTGATAAATTCCAGGTACTCAGGTACGGTAAAAATGAGGACCTTAAACATAATACAGAGTACAAAACACAATCAAATGTACCCATAGTAGGAAAACAGCATGTAAAGGATTTGGGAATAATAATGTCTGACGACCTAACATTTAAGGAGCATAACCAAGCAAATATTGCGACAGCCAGAAAAATGATAGGATGGATTACGAGAACTTTCAAATCCAGGGATCCCATCACAATGGTTGTACTCTTCAAGTCACTTGTGTTGTCCTGTCTTGAGTACTGCTCAGTACTCACTTCCCCCTTCAGAGCAGGAGAGATTGCTGAAATAGAGGGAATACAGAGAACATATACGGCACGCATAGACGCAATAAAGCACCTAAATTATTGGGATCATCTCAAAGCCCTCCAAATGTACTCACTAGAAAGAAGACGAGAGAGATATCAAATAATATACACCTGGAAGATGCTGGAGGGCCAGGTACCAAATCTACACAGTAAAATAACAACGTACTGGAGTGAACGATATGGAAGAAAATGCAGAATAGAACCAGTGAAGAGCAGAGGTTCCATAGGCACAATCAGAGAACACTTTATAAACATCAGAGGTCCGCGGTTGTTCAACGTCCTCCCAGCAAGCATAAGAAATATTGCCGGAACAACCGTGGATTCTTCAAGAGGAAACTAGATTTATTCCTCCAAGGAGTGCCGGACCAACCGGGCTCTGGTGGGTATGTGGGCCTGCGGGCCACTCCAAGCAACAGCCTGGTGGACCAAACTCTCACAAGTCAAGCCTGGCCTTGGGCCGGGCTTGGGGAGTAGAAGAACTCCCAGAACCCCATCAACCAGGTATATGTGGGCCTGCGGGTCGCTCCAAGCAACAGCTTGGTGGACCAAACTCTCACAAGTCAAGCCTGGCCTCGGGCCGGGCTTGGGCAATAGAAGAACTCCCAGAACCCCATCAACCAGGTATCAAACCAGGTATCTAGCAGGAAAAATAGGGACTTACCCGTGAGGCGGCCGCCACATAACTCGCAAAGAAGACCAGAAAACTGGCTGCAACTGCCGACCCAAGGTGACACAAGACCGCTGAGGGCACATTAATGAGGTAACAGGCAGCCAGGACCATGTCCGACCTCCAAAACCCCCGTGCCTGAATGTCAACTCAAGACATGTTTCCAAACACAACCGCAAGAGCTGCGACCTTCCAAACATCATGGGCACGAGGGTAAACTGCAGGCTGGCTAGATTTAATAACCCAGTGGACGACCTGAGACACCCGAGCCCTGGAACGGAACGAGTTATACTGGATCAACCCACAGCACGTCCCTGGACACAGAAGCCGAGGTGTGCAGATAAAGACAAAGCCGCAACTGGACACAACACATGATGCACCCAAGCCTGATCAACCAAGCAGCAATAACTCACAGACCCCTCCGGAAGCCAGTCGACTCATACTTCACCAGAAAAGAAGAAAATGGTTGCAAACGAACAAAAGAACAGAAGCACCGGCATCGGAGGAAAGCATGAAGCTCCCCGACCTGACCCCTAGAGGAGAAGGCCAACAAAAATAATACCCTTTGAAAGTAGTCTTGGACCGAAAGGGTCACCACAAACTGAGGAGAAGAGAGAAAGAAGAGCACCCGGTCCAAGAACCAGGACGGCTCCGGCAGCACATGAGAAGGCCGGGAATAGAAAAATGCATGAGAAAGCTCATGAAATGCAGCAGAAGTGACATCCACCCCAACACAAGCTGGAGCGGCTCCGCCATGCCGCACGATACCAGGCAACAGTATCTGGAATAAGATGCCAGTCTTGAAAGGGCCAAGAAAAAAAAGAAAGCAACCCAATCCAAAACCGAAGTCAACCTACGAAGGGAAACGAAGTGGTGAAATGACCGCCAAGAGACTTCATACTGTCGCCAAGAAAAAGACCGCAGGTGGGAACACCATTAGAGAAGCCACCTGATCACCATACAGGTCGCCATGCGCTTGAATTCTTTGAAAAGAATTTCAGTGTTTTTCTGCTTTTTGGGGTTTTAAACATAAAACCAGCATTGATTGTAATGAAACACCATTTTCTTGGTGAGTCCCAGAGGCTCCCCAGAGCTATCCAGGCTGATATGGATAACCCTATCTACTGTATTTGCATCAGTCGATGTGGGTGGAGTTCTAGGCCTACCGGGGACCACGAGCCAGAACCTGGCCCCCCTAAGGGAGGCACGAGGAGCAATGGCATATAGAAATGCACATGTGATTTGGAGCATTCTATATCTACCATCGACTGGGACAGGCACCCAGAAAGGTAAGCGCCACAAAACAAACCCATATTCTGGTTAAAAACTACGAAAGTAGCCAAACGAGGTGACAGAGCTCCCCAAATGAAAACGAGCAAGCAAGCATGACATCACACGAGCCACGCCGCATGTCTGCGCAGCTCCCCCCTCCCTGGGAGGGGGAAGGTATAGTCCCAGAACCCCTCGCCGGTGATCCACCCTGCAGTTCCTAGGCTGAATATCAAAATACATAAAAAAACACCGACCGGAGGGGAGGAAGGGTTGCTGGGGAGCCTCCGGTACTCACCCAGAAAATGGTGTTTCATTACATTCAACGCTGGTTTTCTGGGGGGAGCCCCTTCGGCTCCCCGGAGCTACTTCACCAAAGACAAGAACAGAGGGACTCATCTGGGAGGCAGTCGGTGCTCACATCACAACACGAAGTCGAGACAACAGGCTGCAACCGCCGACCCAAGGCGACACAGGCCCAACTAGGCCCAGGAACATCCACGAGGTAGCGCGCAGCCAGGACCCAGTTCGACCGCCAAAAATCCAGTGCCCGAATGTCAGCCCAAGACATGTTACCAAAGATGGCATCAAGCACAGCAAAGCTATGAATGTCATGGGCACAGGGAAAGACCTCAGGCTGGCTAGGTAGAATGACCCAGTGGACGACTTGAGAGACCCGAACCTGTGAATAGGGAAGAAGGGAAACGGATCAACCCAAAGAGCGACCCCGGCTACAGAGGCCGTGGCGCACAAAGAACAGAGGAGAGCCGCAACTGGACACAAGAAGAGGCACCCATGGCCAACAAACCAAGCAACAACAACCCCCAGGGACCCCTCCGGAAAATAGCCGTCCCAACCCAACCAGAAAAAAGAGAGATGGCTGCAAATGAACAAACCGATCACCAGGACCCAAAGAAGTAGAAACCACAGACAAACAACCAGAACCGAAAGGGCCACAACAAACTGAGGGGAAGAGAGAAAAGAGCACCCTGCCCAAGAGCAGGACGGATCAGGTGGTGCATGAGCAGACCGGAGGTGAACAATGCCCGAGACAGCCCGTGAACAGTGCAGAAGGAACAACAAAACACGGAGCAATC